CTTGTAATTTCCTTACATTAATTCATTAAGAACACTATTTTATAAAATTTAAAAAAAGGCCTATGGGGGGATCTGACCCCCCCACATCCCCCCCTTGTATACGCCCCTGCCGACGATTACTGGATAATAAATTTTTGTAAATCGAGAAACTCCGTTCAACGTCTACAGAAGTAATTGGAGCATAATTAAAGTATGCCAAATCATCATTTGTCATATCTTCAGGCAAACCTTCCAAATTTTCCACTTCACCACTTAATATTTTATAAATTGTCAACACAATATTATAGCCAGAATTTTTATCTAAAACATCGTTCATTTTATTTACAATTGGTATAGCCTTTGTACATTTCAAGTGACTGATTTTATTTTTTGTATCTTCAATTATTTTTAACGAATCCGACAGCTTAGTACCTCTTTTTTCTAAAAATGTTATCGCTCGAGGTAAAAATTCAAAATTTGCTTTGATAAATGTTAGTTGACATGGAAGATTACTTTTTTTCAAATACTTTTTAGCGGTTTTAATTGATGCTGCATCATCATCATCATCATCATCATTAAACTCCGAAACGAAACTTTGAAGTCGGCTACTCGTAGATTGTTGTACTTTCGGCATTATACAATGTTACTAAATATAGGTACTCGCACTATGTTTTACGTAAGATTCGACGTTGCGTGGTTGCGAGACGCAAAAACAACGACGGATAATAATCAACTGAACTGAACACTAAACAATTTATTATTCTATATCGACTATTATCTTTATCGACATCCGGTCGATATCCAGAGGGTTTTACGATCGATACGGATTTATAGTATTATTTATAGTTTATACTTACACAACAATTATAACGAGATATGAGAGGTTTTTTGATATGAAATTTTATATGTATCTATAGTTTTTAATTTGAAATTTGAAAATTTTGTCAAAATATGCAAAATAAGCATAAAAATTTTAAAATATGCACTCTTCTGCAAAATCTATCAAATATGCAAAAATATGCACATTCAAATTTTAGATCTGATATCATGGCACCGAGAAACGAATTTATTTCGCACTCCGCTATATTTAACAATAATTAAAAAAAAGGAAGCAAATGCTAGAAGTCCCTAAGCCTAATAATAAAAATCAAAAAACATCAGTATAATAATATTTAACTTCATGATTTAATTTTATATGCTTTATTTTATGTGTTAGAAGTTTATTTGTATGTTACTGTGGACTACGGTAGGTATATACATTTTTATGTTTTTAAATATTAGGAACTGTGTGTGGTTAATTATTGAATGTTGCATGATTTTAATATACAGTCTTAATATATTGTAATAATATCTATGTTTTAATGGTATATTTCTAGATTATAGGTATTTTGCTCTTCGTTTTATTTGTGTTTTTATATGGTAAATTAATTTGTGTTCCATGATTTGAATGTCCAGTTTCATATATATTATGTATTGTGTGTACCTACATGTATACTACATGTATACATATACAATAATTTACAAATTAAGTGTTGTACTTTTATGTTTTATTTGTAAGTTATAAATATTATTGTGATTTATAATCTATTATATTTTTTTGATTCAATTAACCGAAAATTATGGGTCGAACTTGGTATAAGTGGTCAAAAGGATAAAGTGTCTAATTCATTCCAAAACCCCTTAGACCCTAAACGACAAATTTTTATGTTGGCCGATGCTCCCCATCTCATAAAAAATGTTAGAAACAGGCTCTATAATAAAAATGGTTGAAGCTTAAATACAATTATAAGGTTTCTTATAATTTATTTAAATAATACTTACATTAAACTTCTAGGAATCTCCCGAAAAGACATTTATAAGATGGTCTCATTATCAAGATGTCTACAATAATGATGTAAATAGAAATTTAAATTCTCCAACTAGGGTCTGTCCTAAAATTTCATTAAGACACATAGAAGTTGATGGGTTTAGTAAAATGAGTGTCAAGTTAGCAACTCAGGTAAATTTATAATAGAAAAATATATTTGTCATTATCAACTATTACTTGTTTCTAAATTTTTAGTGATTCTATGGTCAAGGGCTTAGAATTCTACAGAGAGTATGTTGGAATTGAATCTTTAAAAAATAGTAATGAAACACAAATTTTTACTGACCGTTTCAATAGACTTTTTGATGTATTTAATAGAAAGCACCTTGGAGAAGGAATAAAAAAAAATAGTCTTGATTTTCAGGTACATTTGGCTGTAATTGAAATATATTATTATTTCACTATGATTTTTTTGATTTTTTGAACCAGGTGTTAGAAGATAATCTAGTTTGGTTAAACCGTTGGGAAGAACAAGTAGAAACTAAAAAAATAACCAAAGATGAATACTTGACTCAAAACACTGCTGATGGATTACGTGTTACCATTAAATCAACATTAGAACTGACAAAATATCTTTTAGATAAATGTGGATTCAAATATGTTCTAACCTGCAAAACGAATCAAGATCGTGTAGAGGTAAGTACATAATTAAGTAAAGAGGTATCTACTATAGTACTATTTTTATTACATATAATGATTATAATATAGATATTAAATTGTATTTGTTTATAGCAATTTTTCGGTATGACTAGATAGGCTTCTGGACCTAATGAGCACCCTAGTACACCTACATTTCTCCAAGTGTATAAAATGTTATCTATCTATTCTTTATTACAACCGCCAAAAACTGGAAATTGTAAAGTTTTAGAGCAAAATACACAACAAACAATTACAATTAATGATTTTAAGTCTACTATAAATATTAAGAATGTTTCAGAGAGAATTGAAAAAATTGAAACCTTAAAAATAACACTCGACCCTTTAATAATAAATTATGTAGATGTAGATGATATATTTGATGGTAATATACATAATTATTACAAGGCAAATGTTGAAGACTGTGTGTTATATTATATTTGTGGCTATATCACCAAAAATCTCACAAAGCAAATAAAATGTAAAGATTGCCTTACTGTAATAACTGGTAAGTACTTATACAAAAATACATTTTTCCTATAAACAAATTACAATAAACTAAATTTAAATAGCATTTTGACAATAACAATTTATTTTCAGGTAAAAAAAACGTACTCAGATAAACCTGAAGCTACATTTCTCAATTTAAAATCGGGGGAGGTTTGACTTATCCAAATGAATTCATTTTTAGATTGTTGACGGCAGTCGAAAATTAATTTGCAAAACATTGCGAAAATAATAATGTTTTTTTTATTAACAATTGATGACTTTTTCAATAATAATAAGTCTACTGATTTTCCTTGTAAAATACACAAGAAAGAAGTCCTGTCACACATAGTTTCAAATTTCATAATTATGAAGATGAGACAGTATTCCCTAATTAGTAATAAAAGTAAACCCAAAATGAATGCAAAAAAAAAAGTTTGCTAAATTGGTTAACACTTAATGTTTATAATATTTATGTGGTAATACCTATTAATAAGTACCTAAGCAAATACACAATCTAAAATTTTATTTCATTTCTATTATTTCAATAAAATAAACTAAGTTAGGTAATGTTTATCTATAATTTATTATATTGCTAATTTGTTATATTTAATATCTATGTAATATGTATATATTTTTAAAAATAAAGTTTGTTTTAATAAAGTAATATTTTTGGAAGTTGTTATTCCGGTAATGATACCAATCGGTAAAAGTATGGTCTTACAGTATTTAGTCAAGGCAGTAGTTAGATAATAGATATTATTAATTTAAGTCATAAAAAACCTTAAATTTTAAGTACATTGCATTGAATATCACACAAATACCTTATTAATTCTAATAGTTCTATCTCTACCATATGCATATTAATTATTAACATGTCTATGATCTCTACCTACATAAGATCATTTATAACTATCTGGCCGATATCATTATCAATACTTTTCCGTAACGTTGATAAAAATTTAAAATACGAAATAATATAATATTAAATATCACTTGTATAAATATTATATTATTTTATTACCTATATAGGCACAGGCTATAACCGTAATTAAAACATCACCAATAAAAATGCCATGGGGGTGGCATACACCCATGGCCCCCCCTCAAATACGCCACTGGAAGCAATAGAACAATTAATGAGAAAAATGTATTTCAGATGATATCAATGAAGCCCAGTTTTTTCAAGACAAATGGACTCGACGCAGGACATAAATGTTCATGATCAACTTTCTGTTATTATTTGATACGTAAATACTAATGTAAATGAACGATTACTAGGTTTTGAAAAGATGCACTTCTGGAAAAGGAGAATATTTGTGCAAATTGGTTTGTATTTATTTTCCCTACATTTCACATACATTTTGTCTTAAGTTATGTGTATTTAAATGTATTTAACAATATTAGTAGAAATTATACTTACCAACTTATACAGCTATAAAAGAGTATAAAGTTTCGAGAACAAAATTAATTTATTATAAAAAGTAAAATAACCAATATAAAATTATATCTATACATCCCGAATCGGTGAGTTGAGGATTATGCCACCAGAGCGGGTATCGTTAGCTTGTTTTACCAATATTGATAGCCTTAGGATTCTATATATATATCATTGATATTAAACTAATGGATGCGGCATAACACAAAAATCTGTAAGCTAATATAATTCATACTATTGTGGCGAACCCATAGACCTTTTACTCATAGACCGGCCCATCCTATACTAAATACATTGATAGTCGCGTGCCAAACATAGCGCAGTGATGCAGTCCATTTATGGATCAGTGCTACCATAAAATCATACATTCGATGTATTAAAAAATATTGTGCAATGAAAATATATAATAGTTGAAAAATATAATATAGGTACCTAATACCTATAGTTAATTTTTTTAATTTAATTTATACATATAAAATAAACGACCACTATTTATTATAATTCATAATAATATATTTGTAACTAAATAATAAGTATCAAACATATAAAATCATTCAAAATTAAGTACAAAAAACTGACTATTTAGTTACCTACTTATTCATTTCTAAATAAAATTAGTTTAGTAAATTTTTTTCTAACTCCCATTGTTTCCTTTTGTTGTTGGTTGGCGATATGTCGAAGTCTTAATGTTATAAAAGTAGTTATTATTATTGTTATTAACTGATCTCTGTGGTTTGTAAATAAATTCTGATTACTTACATGTTCATCCAGTATACTGCTTCGAAAAATGGAATTGTATACTTCAGATTTAATTTTTATGTACAATTTATTAATGACATTTTTTTTGTACATTTCTTTTAAGTTTGAGCTTCGAATCCATCTCTCCGAAACACAACAAATAAAGTTAACATCTTTGCTAGGTTTGTAAAGTGCATCATTTCTATTTTTTAATTGAATTAACACATTTGAATTGTCATTGTCAATTAGAAACGTTTTACATATTTCACAGTTAATTTTTCTTATAACCTTTCTTGCAACAAATCCAGCAATGTACTCTGTGACATTTTCAACATAAGGGGAAGCTTTTATACAAACATTAAAATAATCATGATCTTGGTTTTGGGGTACAATCTCTAATTGTTCTTCTTTCTCATTTACTATTGAGTCAGGTATATTGTAAGATTTGGACAACATGGATTCTGGCAGACAGTTACCATACTGGGATCCACTGACATGGTGATGAACCAAAAGTTTTTTATAAGATGTTTTAAATTCCTTTGCTGAGGGATTGTTGTTATAACCTCCTTTTGATCTAACCGTACTAAAAAAAGTTTCCAAGTGGTCCTGTGAAATTTTGTATGACAGAATATATTTAAGGCCATAATCTTTTTCTTTTATTAAATCATACATATTTAACCAATTTTTCAAGGCCCATACTATACCTACAAATCCTGTTTTTCTTGGAGAGTTCACAACATTTAATCCATCAACTAGTTTTAGACTAAATACATACTCTTCAAATAATTCAATGAATTGTTTATATTTTATGTATGTGTTTGGAGATAATGCCAGGTTGTATGGGGATTTTGAAAATTTTGTGCTGCAATTCAAAATGTCAAATGCATTGTTCATGAATAAACAAAATTCTATTGTAGGATTTGTATTTTGAAATATACCTAATGACTCACAGAATATTAATGCATTAGATACACTTGAACTAAATACTTGTGTTGCCAATTTAACATTCATTTTTTCGTTGTGAAAAAATATATGTTTATTTGTTAACCTTGTAGCTGATCTTAATCCTTCTTCTTTTTCTTTTAAATGTAATTTATGTATATGATCCTATTCAATTTTTTCTCCTGCAGCATTAATTAATATTTTCTTATAGCTCAGTGTATTTCTGACTAATTTAATCATGTGGCATGGGTCATAAAATACAAAGATTTTTTCCTGGGTTACAGGGTGTGGAAAGAAGAACTGTGGATTATTTAAATTGAAATTTGCTCCTAACTTGGTACACATACTTAAATTACTATGGGCTCCATCAAAAGTAATACTATGAACTTTCACACCAGCTTCGTTAAGAAGTTCTAGACATTTTTGCATTAAATTTGCTCTCTCACTGCCATTCAACCCTTTAACTAAAAAATAACCTAATGGCAATTTCCAATTAGAATTAATACCTACAGCCATAAATACTAAAGCATTTGTAGCGTGATCCATATTATCATTGTCACAATTGTCAATTCCAACTGAGCCCATATCAACTAAACCATGAAATTTAGTCCCATCAAATTCAATTTTATCTTTAATAGACATTTCATCAACTACAACATTAGCAAGAACAATTGAATTTTCTTGGGTTTTAAGTTTAAGGGTGTTAAATGATTCACTGGTAAAACCAGGATCTCCGTTAATTGATTTGTACCATTTAGTTAAAGTTCGAGGGTGAGGTAAAATATTAGAAAATTGTTTCCTAACAAAATTGTATGCTTTTGTTGAATAAAACTGGAGAGTAACAGCAAATTTCCTTAATTCATCACTATAAGTACCATTACTATTGGCACTTTTTCGTTTAACACTTTCATTTCACGTTTTTGAACCAAATGTCTGTAGGAAAAAAAAAATTCTGAAATAAGTGATTAATTTAGTTTATGAAAATAAATAAATAAATATTTAAGTAAACAAAAAAGAAATATAATACTAAATACATATTATCTAAAATAATAATTTTAAATACTTATCATTTTATATTATTTATTTATTTATTTATTATTATATAATGGGCACAAGACCCAAAAGTGCAATATTACATTTTACCAAAGCTGGGCAAGTTAACCAATTTGTTCAACTAATTACAATATGTCTATATAGTATATTAATCATTAGTACATACTATAATAATATGTCTATAGTATAGTAATAAACACAATAATATACAATCGTCGGTTGATATACCTCCGTCGCGATTCTCCGAAATATCAATGCAAATAATATACAGTTCATAAATCACATAAATCATAATAGGAAAATTTGTAAATAACTTTTTACAAATAACTTTCATTTTAACAAAATAACTAAGTTAAGTTACAATTATTTATAAAAATAAATAACTTAGTTATCAATTAAGTTATTTTCTACATTCTATTTTTTTTTTGTAACTAGTTAAGTTAAAAGTCATCATCCCAGATTTGGATTTTACATACATTTACATTTATATACCTGTAAAATGTGTGATGCATTTTCTGAAATTAAATTTTTTCCTTCTAGAACTTTTATAAGGTCTTCATAAGTTTTGACTCTGTTCTGAAGTCTTCTAGCTTTCTCTCTAGTAATTTTCAATTTGTTTAAAGTTTCTTGGTGTTTATTCTTTATAAACGTTAAATTTCTACTAGCTCTCAGTGGCGCAACCAAGGGGGGGGTCCCCGGGTCCGGACCCCCCCTTGAACCGTGTCGTATCTTTCTAAAATAATAAAAATGTTTGAGAAAATTGAAAAATTGATTCGATTCAGAACCGAGTACGGCTGCTGTGATATTGTGATCATAAAAACGCCTTATAGTTGATAAGAACAAATCACGTGTAAGCTCGTATCGAGAAGTCACCGTTGCAAAAGATTACCAAATAACTGTTCCGAGTATTACCACAGATTTTCATCTATTCTGTGGTATTACCATACAGTCACGCGCTTGCATTGATAATAATTGGTGTTATCGTGTATTATTAACTTTTACTGTTAACAAATCGTTTGTCATTTTTCGTAGTTTTCGTAGTTTTCAGTTTTTTTTTTTTGGCATTTACATAGGTATATTTACTTTTACTAATATTATAAAATACTTATAAATTTAATATGAGTAAACGGAGCATAATTAGTTATTTAACATCAAATGTACCGGCTAAAGTGTCTAGGGGAGAAGAACCACTAGAAGTCCAAACTTCAGAAATACATTCGGATCTAGATACTTCAAATGTACATAGTATTTTTGACATACAGCTAATGGTTGGTAAAAAATTTACTGATGCTGAAAAACTTCGACATCTAGAAAATCTATGGACACCAAGTAAGAACTCAGTATTTCCTTCTACTCAGCATGGCAAAAAACAATTAAAATTTCAATTTGGATGGTTAGAAAATTGGAAATGGTGTTATGGAACCGGGGTTCCAACACAAATAATTTAACGCACGATTAGATTGATATTAATTATATAGGTTTTATTACGGGTTTTAACATTAACTAGTTGTACATATAATATAAAAATGCTCTTCTTAAAACATACGTTAAGTATAATGCTCTGTTCTAATGCGACTGACTAACCTCCTCCCTGTGCGTCGGCCTACGGCCCCGCCGGATGCCGAATCGCCTAGTCAGCGGATTCCTGTCGACGAGCCGTCGACCAACACACTCTTCTTATACTGTGAACATAATATAATATAATACTATTCAGGGGTTCACAACACCCCCCACACTAAATGAGACACGGGGGTCCTATGATCACCGTGTTTCATCTAATTTAAAAGAGTCTGTAAATTGGGATGTTGGAGATTAGTTCAGCATAGTTTTATATATTTTTTTTTTTTACAATGATAAATAAAATGATAGAGAGAGAAAAAAAAAATAAAAAAATATATATTATACTCTAGTGTTTTCCTGAATACCATTCGAATGTTCTTCTGGTATTTCAGGGATGTACATTCTTATTGAATGTTTCCTTAGTTTACTAATACATATTATTATTGTTATTCCAAAAACAAAAAAAATTACATAAATAAATATAACATAAAATTCTATTTTTTGGATGAACATTGAATTTGGTAGTACATGTATAAGCTTACTTAATTCTACTGCTTTGCTGGCAAGAATATTTAAATTTTTAATGCACTTCGTGCTCGTAAGGTTCTGAGGAACTACTCCTTTAAGATTTTCTGTGATTTCTGATTGAGTTATGTCCCTAACATTGTTTGATACAATATCCAATTTAACATTTCTATTGGATTTACTCTCTGCTATAAACATGGAGTTATCGATGTTCATTTTGCAAGAATTAGGAATTGTTATTCTACCTAGATTGTTGATTTCTATTTGGAATTTTTCAAGTGAGTCCGAACATGTGATAGTACCTGGTGTACTATGTTGAGTATAGTATAACCATGCATTGGTTTTCGTTAACTTGTGCCAAATGTTCGTATTCAGACTCATGAATTTTAAATTGCAAGTCTTTGGGAAATGTTGGGGGTCCATGAGTAATGATACTTCACATAAATCCGATCCTAAACGGTGATGGATTAGTGATTCCTGTTTGCACAGTTTCCTAACCCTAAACTTTTGCATTTTTCCCATTGCTCTGTATTTAGTGTGTAAAATTTTTCGTTATCACTGCTGAGTGCTAGATATTCCACTTCCGTATCTATTAATACTATTGTCCCCTCTATGTGTGGAATAGGTAATGGTATTGGGTGGTAAACGGTATATTTGTCATTAGATAGTAGAGGAATTTCTATTATAAAAATTAAATAGTTCTTTTGGGTAAAAATTGTCATTTCCGAGATTCTGAGAAATTCAGTCAAAAATTCTGTGTTTATTTCCATTGGTAGAGTACTTCCTGTTGGTAAATTCATCTTTATTTCTCGCAACTCACTCATAAGTGTCTGCGATGTGAGTGCGCTCGTATATACCTTCCCATTGAGAGCTGCGTTTACTATTGCCATGAGATTTTGCGTGTCATAGGCGAATCTATTTAATATTATCTCAAACAAAAATGCTTGTTCCAACAATTTTGTTTTGAATGATATTATGTCAATGTTCTGTGTGTTGTTCTCGAATTGCTGTTGTAGGTGTTTCAGATTTCTCTCAATTTGCTGCTGATGCATTTTCAAACTTTTCAGTGTTTGATTAGTTTCTGTTTTCTCCACTTCCGAGATTCTCGTTCTGTCGTGTATAAGGTTTAGATTCTTTAATTTGCTTTTACCTAACTCTATTATATTGTCTACAATAAAGTCAGTGTTGATTCTTGAACACATTCCGTAAATTACGTTTGTTATTCGGTTAACAGCACTTCCCAATCCACGTCTACTTTTCTTTGCTGTCTGTTGATCATAGTCAATGGCTATCATCAGACTTCGATAGTTCGATTCTATCTCATATAGATATGGTAGTGTTGCTCGTGTAAATTGTTGCAAAAAAGGTTTACATATCCTCGAGAATTCTTCGTTTTCTGATTGATTTGTACAGTACTGTGCTGTTTTTTGATAGTGGGACTTTAATATATTGTATTCTGCTAATTGTTCGTTTAGGTTTACGTAAACTACTAAATCCCAAGTAATATGTGATAGACCAAGTTGGCCATGGGACTCGTAGTAAAGTCCTTGATGTTCTGTGATTGGAGTTATCGCGTACTCTGGGGTTGATTGTCTGTCTTGATGATCTGATTCAATTTTCCTCTATAGTTGGGCATGTCCAACTGTGGTAATTGCAATGATCCTGAAAATAGTTTAACAAGAACATTTAATTTCCTTCGTAGAATTGTTTTAATAAATTTCTGTGCAGAATGACTGGTCTGTTTTTCTTCAATATCGTTATATTTGGAGATTCTGGGTTAGTTTCTATAACCGTATAGGGTCCTATCCATTTCGGAGCTAGCTTACCTTTACTAGCTTTTTCTTGGATGAGTACCTTGTCACCTATACTTATTGTTAGAGGTGAGATTTTCTGATCGTAACGATCTTTCGATTTCTGTTTGGAATCATAAAGATGAGTTTTTGCTTGAGCCTGAGCTTCTTGCATGTTCCTCTTTAATTCAAAATAATAGTCGTCATAATTGTATTGAGGTTCTGTATTTTTCATAAATGAATTTGGTACGGTTATTGGATGCCCATATACTAATAAGCCGCCTGTAGTCGACACAGAGACGAAATGTTCCGTATTTTTTCTTTGCCAATAATACCGGTGTGGCCCACGGTGAGGTGCTTGGTTCTACGAGCCCCTGGAGTTCCATATCGCGCACTATATCGTCGATAGCAGTTTGTTTCTGCTGCGGATATGGGTATGCTTTGAGCGCGATCGGTGATGGGTCTTTTAGCATAATTTCGTGTTCAATTAATTTGGTACGTCCTACTTTTTCGCTGAATACTACCGCGTATTTATTTAATATCTTGGTTAGTTATGCACGTGTTTCGGTGTCGTTTCCAAATTCTAATTGTGACAAGTCTGGACGAGTGGCGGGTGGTTGTGGTTTCCCTTTCCAGCATGTCGACGTACGAATATGCCTACCCATGTGAATTGTGCATGCGGCGTAGTCCCAAGAGACTTCATTGGTTACAAGAAAGTCGTGTCCTAGTAACGCGTCGCAATACAAATTGTCTAGGATGGTAGCTTCGAATTTTATATCGAGTGTACCTATCCTAGCTTCGAATGTGGAGGTGCCACTGGTTGTTGCAGTGTGACCGTCCGCCATCCGGACTGTGTTTGTTGGTCCGTGGGGAGGTGTTTTGCCGTATTTACGTACGATTTTTGCGCCTGTGAATCTAATAGGGCTGTTACGAAACCTGACGGAAATTCGAGTTCGACCGCGGGGGTCGGAATTTTGTCTGGGCGTGTTCGTATACCATTATTAGTCGTATTGCAATCTGTTGAGCGGGACAACTGGTTCTGAACCGCGACAGTGACTGTCTGGTCGTCGGTGTTAACCGCCATGACCATACTGTCAACGCCGGTTGCCTCGTTGCTCGCCTGTTGCTTTACGTGCGCAGACTGACCTAATGCGGGGATAAGCGCGGTATGTGTGCTTGTGTCCCCGTCACCTGTGCAGGTGAACACCCGTGTCTCTGTTGCCTTTGTCCCTACACCTGTGGCTGCCCCATGAGCCGGTTGTTGTTGAACACACGTGTCACCGGTGAGGTGAGTGTGGTCTGTGGTGGGGTGGTGTAGGTTGGGGGTCTGTGAACGGGTGCCGATTGGTGATGAGACGGAAAAAATTTTCGTAGTTGGTTTTTCTGTGTGTTGAATTACCGAACTACGCGCTTTTCGATTACGTGTTTTTTTCCGTGTGTACTACCGATAGTGGTTGGTGATGGGGGGGGGGGGGGGTGATGAGTCGATGGGGGGGGACTAGCCCCGTCGACTCCCCCGCCGTTTCCCGACGTGGTCGGTTTGTGTGGGCACTTACTGTTCCAGTGGAGTTCCCCACAATACCTGCACGGCCCCGGTGGGTGATTATCTGTTGTTTTTTTGACGGGGGGCTGTTTGTGGGGTATCCGCCCCTTTTTTGGGTTTAGGGGCCCATTGTTGGGGGGTCGGTTTGTCGTGTTGACACTATGTCGGCGCGCAGTTGGGATTGGATTTCGGAATTGTTGTAATTTTCTAAAAACTCAACCCTAAATTCTTCCCAGGATATGTCGAGTATTTTTATGGATGCGTACCATACACTCGCCGTTCCTTTTAACTGCGGCTCGACCGCCCTGCACCAGCCCGAGGGGTGTATACGAGCTTGCACCAAAATCGACTCGGTATTATTAATGTACCGTACGGGGTCCTCGGCCCTTGTTCCAGTGAACTCGGGTAACGAAGCTCTTGCTGTGCGCAAGTCCTCGTACGGTATTAGTACCGAACGTTCATGCTCGCGTGCTTCGTATAGTCATTAGTCTCGCGCGCGAAGAACGGTCGGTTGTTCGCGTCGGCAATGTGGCTGGCGCTGTGTTGAGCACCGCCGTCATTGAGCTCATATGACCTACCCGACTGGTAACTATCGTGTGTACTAGCGAAACCACAGCCGCCTACTGTGAGTTTCGCGACCGTGGACGCACGGTATAGATCGCGTCCTCGGGTTGCGGATAGAGGGAAGCCCGGTTCCCTCGGTAGCTTCCGAGTCGGGTAGCCGGCGAATAACTAATAACCGGCCGCGGACAGCTTCGATTAAATGACCCGTAGTTCCGGACAGTATGTCCTCTGGGCCGGTTCACGGTCGCCGGCTGGGCCACCGACCCAGCCGGTGGTGCTCTTAATACGAGTTGAGAGCACGGGCGCCGGAGTTCGCTCCGTCCAGCAGCCGGGCGTCTCAGCGTAAGCCGGGTTTGGCATGTCTCCGGGACACTGCGGTGAGTGTTACGGGCTCGCGGCTGATGGCTCGTCTGCTTAGAGTCCCTAATTCGGTAGGCGAGGGTGGTCGTCGCAAATAGTCCCACCTTTGACTGAAAGGTAGGGCTGTCGTCAGCTTGGGCTGGGCGCCTCGGCTCGGCAGGCATCCGGGTCGGGACGTTTGGCCAGACTGACCCAAGGACACGGGTCCTTGCTGATGATGGTTCGAAAGGGTGGTGGCCGAGATTAATTTCGCACCTCGCGGACGCCCGTCCGCGGTTAAGGCACACCAATGCCCGTCTTGCCGGACAGAACTGGTAGCTTCGAGGGGTGAAAGTCTGACTGAAGACGCTTCAGTACCACGGGAGTGAGTGGGGCCCCGTCGGTAACGACGCCGCTCACCGCGGGCGTCCAGTGATGGTTCACGCCCCTGGACGTCCGTTGCCGGTAGGAATCGTGGTGGTTGTATTCTTACGAATACTTTGTGGTTGAGTCAATAGATGCTTATTCTAAGTTCTCGCTGACAGGCGAAAACCTCTGATGAACGGCCGCCACGTCCCGGGGGCGCGAGTCACCGGTTCGTTGTCGGTTCCTCTCGGGCGTCTAGCCGCTATACCGGTGTAGTATCATCGGAGGTTGAGTGTAACCAGAAACACTCGGTGTGGGGATAGCGCACGGCCAGACCAGGCGAATTCAGGCGGCACTTGGCCTGTCTTCTTGGTACGGGACCTCGGTCCCGGTGCTCGTGGTCCGTAGACGACGCGCGGTCGGCGGACTGGGCCACCGTACGTCGACCGTGAACCTCCGCGGCTCTCGACTAGTGCACAACGCTAATGTGAGGTCCGCGGTTGTAGCCGCAAGGCGTCAAAACCCGGGAGCCTTCGTATCGTGTGTACGATTTGGTATCTGTACGGGTGACGGGTGGTTATCTAACCGCGGGGCCGCTACACTGTTTGGCAGTTGGACGGTTGCTTGGCGCGATTCTGTGAAGAACCGCGTCATGCTCGCTTCCAATGCCCCTAAACGTGCCTCGAACGATGTTGAGTCGTTCGCTTGTGGCAACATCAATTTCAACTGTTGTAGTTGTTTCGCCGTGGTTTCGAAAATGTCGGTTTTTAAAGGTTGTGCGGACTGGCTCTGCTGCATGGTCGACTGGAAGCTGCAGATTTCTGACTGGTTGTCTGTGGGTTTTTGACTTGCTGTTGGGCTTGTCAAAATTCCCCCAGACGGTTGTCCAAAAATCTGGCTGGCGTTCGTGTTTTCCAGCGCTGATACCCAAATACCCAAATTATGTGCCTCAACTTGAAAAAATATCTTATTCAAAAAAATTTCGAGATGTTCAACTGTACAAACATTAAAAAAAAATATTAGCACAGAACGGCGTACAATAATGATGAATTAATAAAACTAGCCATAAATTTTCGACTTGTTTACGAGTTAATCTGTCTGATTCGAATTTTTGTTGACAAACTGTAATTCACGCCGTTCTGTGCTAATATTTTTTTTAATGTTTGTACAGTTGAACATATTGAAATTTTTTTGAATAAGATATTTTTCAAGTTGAGGCACATAATTTGGGTATTGATTTCACTTCTTTATTAAGCCCCAAATTCTATTTTTTCAACCTTGGCCCTTTTGGCACAGAACTTTGAGATTGATTTCACATCTTTATTAACACCAAAGTTCTATCTTTTCTCCCAATCTCTTCAACTTACGCACAGAAAGCCTTTTTTACTTCTCCGAAGTAGTTTTTTTTATCATTACTACACTCAGTGTGAACATTTATACAAACATAAAGATTCTTTATTTTGCCATAGCAATGTGCACACTGTTTGATGCCGGTGTCATGGCCGACTGATTCTCTATTATCGGCCCACCGCCCAAGAGTGTCCACCCCTGCTGTAACTGACGGCTTGCCCACCTAACATTTAAAATAATAATATTTTTATTGAAATGTTGAATGGCTTTGAACATTGGTAATACAATTGTTTGGCTGATCGGTCCAAAATTCATTTTCTTAATTTAAATGTTTTTAATTTGTGCAATATTAATTACTTTTTATTATTATAATATAGGATTTACCTGTTAATGGAGGTAGATTCAAACAAGTATTTAATAATGAACAATTAGAGGAGTTGAAGACTTACGTTACTGATATTAAACGTCGGGCATTTGGTTTAACTAAAGTGCAGTTTCAAAAAATTGTGTATGATTTTGCAGAAAAGGAAGGCATTCCAAATTCATTTAATAATGATACAAAAATGGCAAGAGAAGGTTGGTTATCCAAGTTTATGAGCACCAATAATTTAAGTTTGAGAACTCCAGAAGCCACTTCAGTTGGGCGACTTATGTGCTTTAACAAAACCAATGTTGATCACTTTTTTAGTATATTGAAAGAAATTCGCTTACAAAATAATTATCATCAGATATACAATGTTGATGAGTCCGGATTTTCCACAGTCCCAACAAAGCAACCCAAAGTCATCTCTCAAAGCGAGTGGCTAAAGTAGTGACAGCAGAAAGAGATAAAAATGTAACAATTGTTTGTGGAGTAAGTGCTATTGGTACTTATATACAACCATTTTTCATTTTTTCTCGAAAAAGATTAAGACCAGAGTTTTTGATTGGAGCACCCCCACTGGTAGTAATGCCATTGCTCATGAAAGTGGTTGGATGACAACTGACAACTACAACCGTTAGATGTTTCTATTTTTTGGCTTATAAAAACTTTTTATAGTCAGGCCTGTGAAAATGTTATGGTTAATCATCCTGGCTCAGTTATTTCGGAAGCTCATATACCAACGCTATTTGGAGAAGCATATGTTAAATATGCAAAATGCAATTGGTGGTTTCAAATCTTGTGGAATAGAACCTTTTAATTCACAAATATTTCAATATCAGGATTTTGCTGCATCTGCCACTATTGATGGACCATTAGTAATTGAAAATAACATAAATAACGATTCAAGCCTTACACCAAACACAATAGATTATGCTACCATCTGCCAACCTGGTCCAAGTACTACTGACGGATTAGAAGTAATTTTGCCTCCTACAATAAGTTAACTCCGGAACCTTCCAGAACTCCCAACAGCCAAAAAAAAATATTACCAGAAAATCTAGAGCTAAACTACCGTCCATAATAATAACATGTATTCCCGTAAAAAGTTATCTTGAACAAAAATTAAAAGATAAAAATGACCTAGTCAAAGAAAAGGAAGAAAGATAGCGCAAGAGAATAGAAAAAAAAAACTGAAAAAGAAAAAGTAAATCAGTTAAAAAGAAACTATTTGTAAACAGATCTTCCTCTTCTGAAAATGAAGAACTTCAATATATTATAACCGAAAACGAAGATTCAGCAGATGAAGAATGCCTATATTGCAATGAACCATTTAAAAATGATGTGATGGGGGAAACATGGATCTGCTGCATAGAGTGTAAGAGATGGGCACATGAAATGTGTACAGGGTTGGATGACTTGAAACAATTTAAATGTGAAATATGTGACAAATATGTCCCTTAAAAATACCTACCTAGGTATGTGCTAACAATTTTAAAATTGAACCTTATTCCTAATTTATTAAGTTTTATTTGTTAAAGAATTTTAATTTGTTTTAAATAAAGTAAATTGTTACTAAAGTTTAGTTAAGTTAAGTTGTGTTATGTGCTTAAAGGTATAAAGCATGTTATACAACAAGTAAACAACCTTATTAGTTATTAGGTACATTAATATTTTATACTGAATAAAATGTGATAATAATTTTAAAATTGAACCTTCTAGTAATTTCATAAGTTTTGTTTGTTAAAGAATTTTAATTTGTTATAAATAAAATAAATTGTTACTAAAGTTTAGTTAAGTTAAGTTGTGTTATGTGCTTAAAGGTATAAAGCATGTTATACAACAAGTAAACAACCTTATTAGTTATTAGGTAGTATTAGGTATTTGGTAGTACCCAAAATGTGTAATATAATTGGGTGTATGAGTAAGGGGGAGAGCATTCTTTACTGAAGTACAGACATGCATGTTGGGTTTATTATTGTATAACACGCAATCATTTTTATACAAATCATATAACATAATATTATTATTTAAATTACCAATATTAGTTGGTTGATTGGGTGTGGGAGGGGTAGTTGAAAACTTAGATATGAATAAAGAATAATTGCATATAAAATTTGGTAAAGTTAATCTAGACTTAGTACAAAGATTACATTGATGTGTAGATACATTTGATATAAAACAACTGAAATTACGTGTATAATTACTTATAAAAAAATCACAATTGCTGGTTGGTGGCTACTTTTTGAGTGTGTTGTTAATAACATTGGTTAATGGAACAATCCTTGGGAATCCGTTGATATAACGAACAGTGATGTTACTGCTAGGATCACTGGCTTGTCTGGTGCGTAACTCCTGATACACCTCTCGAATCGATTGTCGGTCCGAAAAAGTACGATCGCGTGAAATTGAGATATCCGGCAGCTGATTTGGAGATGTGGCACGAAGGTGATTGTAAGACTTTACTACGGTATCGACAGCACCACATGAAGAAAGCACTACCTTTAGTATTCGTGATTTATTTTCACTTTTTTTTCCAGTTCTAAATACATTGACGATTGAAGCAATCGGGACGGATGGATTAAGCTTTCCTAGAATGTTAGCTACGAGTTGTTTGTCATCTGAAATTTTGTCGGGCAACTGAGGCTTGAGAGATTCCGATGCACCTCGTATAATTATATTGGAAGCACATATTGTTCGTTGTTGAATTTCCATTACTACGTCATTAATGGATGGAGGCATTGGAGAATTAACCGAAGAGGACTGTGCAACGGTTTCAGACAAAGTTTTTTCAGTGGCAGTGATGCGGGTTTCAAGATCTTCAAAGCGTTTGCCATGTGCCTTAACATCATTCGTCACTACATTTAGCTGTTTATTGAGCGAATTAATAGCTTGGCCGAGGGATGATAATTGCTTCCCCTGTTGTGATACCTTTGAATTTAAATCGGATATAGAAGATGAAATATTGACCAAGACTTCATCCGACTTGGTTTGTTGGGATTTAATAGATTTTAATTCATTAAGAATGAGAATTATATTGTCAGTGGAGTCCTTGGAAGAAGATGTAGTTTTGCAGGGGGTACAAGTCCATGGTGACTGACGATCAGCTTCGGCATATCCTTGAGTAAGCGAGGTTGTGATGCAGTTGGTATGAAAAAGATTTTTGCAAATATGGCAGCTAACAGACGGTTGCTCACGCAGAAGAGGCAGTGAGCAAATATCACAGTTTGGGCGAACCATTGAGAAGATTGGTGAGTTGCCCCTTAACTATAGAAAAACTTCTACTAAACACACACAAGAGGTGAGAAGTTTTGAGAGATGTAAACTGAGGAATGTTGTGCCCGATCGTTAAAGTCTCTAGTTTATTGACAATTGGCGGTGACTAGGTCAGCTGTTATTCATGAGAACTGATAACTGAGAGTTGATTACAGATAAAGTGATACTCACCAAAGCAGCAGACGCCTCTTACGAAAAAATGAAGTACTTAAAAGTGGTAAAAAGCGAGTAGTATGAAGGGCGCAACGACTTTTAAACAATGGATAAAAGGCAAAATTAAGCAAAACGCACTAACAAGCTAAATAAGAAACCGAATATAAGCGAGCACAGAAAAGAATTACAGAGCATTAAACATCGATCACTGTTATCACTGTTACTTATCAAGGTTAGGTTAGGTTAGGTTAGGTTAGGTTAGGTTTTCAATTTTGATCTCATGTCCGCCGACCACGAACGCTCGCCTGTTCGTCAGGAGAACAGCTTCACTCTTATGATGTGCGTGCTGTAGGCCCCTCAGTAGCGTCCATGCATCAATAGGGGCTAGCGTGGGGTTAAGCACGTGTTCGAGCAGCGGACCAGTCCTGGCCACTCCTATGATGGCCGAGTCATCCGCGAAGCCCATCAGATGGACACCAGGCGGGACTTGCATATCCAGGAGTCCATCATAGGACACGTTCCATAGTGCGGGGTCGAGGACGGATCCCTGTGGAACGCCACATGTTACTGGCCTGGCGGCCATTTCATCTCCCGTCAATAAAGTTCTATAAGACAGCCAGGAACGGAACATTTCCACTATATGATGGAACAACTCGAGTCACTGGCAGAGAGTCGTCTGTTTGTCCAACTCGACCTTGCGAATAGATACTTAGAAATCCCATTGACGAAGGAAGCCTAGGAAAAGACACCAAGGATTTGGACGGCATGTTGGTGACCTTACGTGAGGTGTTGGAGAAGATACGGTATGCCCAGCTAACGTTAAAATCGTCAAAGTGCTCGTTCAGAGCCAGGCGTATCCACTTCCTGGGTTTTATCGTAGAGGACGGTGAGAATCGGCCCGGTGACGCGAAGGAATGTACAATCAGTGAGTATCCAGTTCCTAAGGATGTCCATAAGGTGAGGCGGTTCTTAGGCCTCACAGGGTTCTTCAGGCAATTTGTGGAAAAATATGCTGTGGTGGCCGAGCCGTTGACTTGACTTATGCGAGGAGGATATTATAGAGGATTCGAGTGGTCTGAAGAGCAACTGGTGGCGTTCGACTCACTACGGATGCCAATAACCAGCAACACCGTCCAAGTCATGTTCAGGAAGGAGGCATTAATTAATAACGTACTAATATTTTTAGATGTAAGCAACATGACATCATAAAATCGCCAGTCACAAATTCAACTAGAATTGTGCCAGTCAAAGTAGATATCTAAAAATAAAGTGAGTTTATTAGTGTTGAATAACTAGAAATAAATATTAATAAATTATTTAAAAACTCTTTATTTTATTAAAGTCAAGGACATAGGTATAAATTATCATATTATTAAATTATTTATAATGTTCAATTGATATACCTATTATTTAATATGAGTACTGTGTAGGTACATTATACATATAAGTAAAATATTAAATATGGATGTTTTAATGTTTTATATTATCCTATATTATAAACCTACTTATATAATAATAATTAATAGCTCAGTTATATACAGTAATTACAAAAGTAAATAAAACAATTTAAAGTATAATTTTTTTTTTAAATAATCTAATTTTGTATAACTGAAAGTTATCAACTTTACAAGTTTACAACGTTTGAAAGGTGTTTTTTCTGATATTACCGTTTTCAGAAATGTAGTTGTAATATTCAATTAATAAAATGTTGGTTTATGTTGATTGCTTACCGATATAATTATATATTATAATATCAAAACAAACATATTTATGCACAACAGCTGATATATGTTCATGTAACTACAAAATCTACCTAATAATTACATGCCATTTTCTTGATGAGAATACTTTTAGCAGGCACTCTTATATAGGTAGCTGGTTGTCGGCGAATAAAAGGTAGTCATCCATATATAAATATGTCCCAAATTTTTAATACAATTACCCAAACGTTTTAAATAAATAATTCTAAAATTTCACATACTGTGACTGACAATGCCACAAATTTTGGAAAAGCATTTAGAACACTTTCCATCCCCATAATTGAAAATAAAAATCAGGGTAGTACTACTAATAGTAACTGGTTTAATGGTACTAGTGATGAATTATCCAGTAGCAAAAAAAAATGATAGGTACTGTGTGCTGAAGTTGAAGTAGTTGGAGTAACAAAATTAATTTCCGATTTTATGGTGTCTAATTCAAACGATTTTGAAGATGACATAACTTAGCCAAACCATTTGACCTACTCTGATCATACATTAAGTTTAATCGCCACTACTGATGTGGCAAAAATTGGAGACAAGTCATATAATAATATCTCTAAGTCTATATTTGCAAAATTAAATTTATTTTGGAACCTCTTAAGTAGAAGCTCAGTTGCGTCGGATAAAGTATATGAGATATGTAATTATAAATTCCCTGTACCAATTATAACTAGGTGTAACTCGATGTTCCATGCAGTCAGAAAAGTTGTGGCTAATAAGGAAAAATTGGGTGTTGCCTTTGATAACCTAAAATTAAAAAAAATCAAAACTTTTGAGTGGAGTTTTCTGGAGGAATATTTTTTTTGTCGTGGAGCCTTTAGTAACATCACTTGATCTACTACAAAGAGAAAACACATGTTTTTTAGGTTATGTTGCACCCACTGGCCACTATTATTGCTTTAAGATTGAAATTAATTCAATCAACACATTTAGTTTATTGTAAGCCATTAGCATTTTCAATTGTACAAAATCTTGAAAAGAGATTCAATTATTATTTATTTGATTTAGAGCTTACTTAATGCAAACCATTTATTTTATCAGCCATTAGTCTCCCAAAATTCAAACTGGGCTGGGTACCAGTAAGGCAATTAGAAATTTTCAAACAATTATTTTTGTCAGAATGTAATTTATTAAATATAAATGAAAATAATTTTGATATGAGTATGATGTTAGTGAATGTAGTGACCAAAAATTGTATGACATTCTTAGTGGAGATTGTTCTGTTCAAGATGTTAGGTCATTAAAAAGTAATACTAAAATTACAAATCTAGCAAGTGTACAAGCGTTTTCTTATTTTGATACAAAAAAAAAAAGATTTAAATATTTTAGATATGTTACCCATTGTTAAAAAAGTTTTTCTTAAATACAACACGACTCTACCATTATCCACCCTAGTTGAAAGATTATTTAGAAGCGGTTCCCAAATACTGACTCCAAGGAGAAACCGTCTAAATGAAAAAATATTCGAAATGCTGTAGTCATAGGCGGTACTACGGGGTGGCAGGGTAGGCAACTGCCCCTCCTGCGAACCGTAGGTACCTGTATTAATACATAATTCTTTAAATGTCGGTTTCCTAACTCTAAAAAAATATATATTTTTTTTTTCAATACGAAATTTGTTCCAAAATATCTGTGAATGATAACACACACTTAAAAAATATTCTATTATTTAATCTATTCTGTGATTTTATTATCAACGAATCCTGATAAGGTGATGTGCGCCAAAACGTTACAACATTGCGATAGATAAGAAAAGATTCGAATTGTTATCAATATTCAATTGACAAAACGAAAACACTTTTTTTTTACACTTTTTAGTTTCTTGTGTTTCTAGTGTTTCTACGTTACTTCACTAATTTTACAAATTTAATACAATATAATATATAAATATTAATAATTATTAAATACCTCAAATTGTTAAAGTATGACTTCAAAAAATTTTTAAAAAATGAAGACTTTGAATAACTTTTTCAAGCCAAAACTAAATAATGGTAAGTTATTATTTAATACTTAAAAAATACAAAATTATTTCATTTTTATCATTTTATAGAACTGACTCATATATCAGAAGCAGATCATACTCTTTATGCTGAAGAATCAGAAAGAAATACTTCTTTATCTTCAGTTATTATTAATGTATCATCAGGTATTTAAATATTAATATACACAATTTTAAAAACAATTTGGTTTGTGTTCAGTGTTATATGGTATTTATAGATTCATTGTATCTATTTAAAAATTTAATTTATAACTAAAATTTATTGTACTATTATATAAATATTGTACCTGGATCTTACGATCCGTTAGAATTTTAAATAAATAAATAAATAAATAAATAAATATAATATTTATTTAGATGGTTTCTTATAATTGTTATGATAATAATTTGTTTTTGTGTCTTGTGTTGTTGTGTAGACATCTTTGATTGCATCAATACTAACTCTTATGTGTAAAGTAGGTAAGTGAAACTAAATTATTTTGAGTTGCATGGATTAGTGGTACATGATAAAAAGAATGCCTAGTATGTGTAATTATTAATTAACTAACTACTTGGTTATTTGATTTTAGTGGTGAATATTATCTATGATTGATATAGTGTTTGTTGGTTAACTTAACTTTTAGATTGGCTCAATAATTTTAAATGGACATTCATTTTATTCTTAATATATTTAGATAAAGATAACCATAGCACCGATTTACATCCTGATGATCCTAAAAATATTATACCATTAAATCAAATAGAATTTAAACAGCGAGTTATCAGAGGACCTCATCAACCAGCTTTAGAATTTTATCCAAGATCATCATTTAGTGGAGTACAGCGTTCGTTTCAAAGTTCCTGGTTTAAATTATTTACATGGTTAGAATATAGTCCAAAGTTTGATTTGGCATTTTGTTTTCCATGTCGCATGTTTAATAATTCTAATGGTATAAATGTTGGTCAAACTGATAAAGCTTATACAACAACTGGATATAAAAATTGGAAAACGGCTACCATCAAATTTAAAACTCACCAAATGTCTAAAGTTCATTTAAATTGTGTAACATCCCTCTCAAATTGTCTACATTCAAAACCAATTGATGTATTATTAGATGAAGAAAGAGAAAATACCCGAAGTCAGAGAGAAAAACAAAGGTTAATAAATAGGAAAGTATTTCAACGTTTAATAGATGTAACACTTTTTTTTAGGCATTGGCGGTAAACCATTTCGTGGACACAGTGAAAAGAAAGATGATGTTTATAAAAGTCTATTTTTGGGAATAGTAGACCTTTTAAAAAAGTATGACCCAATATTAAAAACACACTTCGAAACAGGACCTAAAAATTCTTTATATTGTAGTAATTACATACAAAATGATCTCATTGCGTCCATCAGTATTGTGATTAAAAGACAGTTAAAAGTTGCTTTAATAAATGAAAAAGTGTCAATAATGGCTGATGAGACTAGTGACGTCGGTCACCATGAACAATTATCTGTTGTAATTAGATATTTTGATAAATTTAAAAACATGCCAATAGAACAGTTTGTATGCATGAAGCGAATGATGACAGTTGATGCCACAAGTATATTTAATGCTTTAAATGAGGTAGTTGAAGAGTATGAAATAAAATGGGAAAATGTTATTTCTACTTGTTTTGACGGTGCTGCAACTATGTCCGGAAATACAACAGGAGTTCAGACAAAGTTTAAGGAGAAAAACCCAAAATCTTTTTTTGTGCATTGTTATGGCCATTGCTTGAACTTAATATTAGTTGATTCTATTGGCAAAGACAATAAAGTGACATTTAACTTTTTTGGTTGTATCCAAATGGTATATAACTTCATTGAAGGAAGTTGTACTAGGCATGCAGTTTTTGAAAATGTGTCAAAGTTGATAAATATAAAATTGAAGACTTTAAAATCATTATCAACCACTAGATGGGCATGTCGGTCTGAAGCGGTCAATGCTGAAAAAAATAATTATTCTGCTTTGTTGATTGCCATTAAACAAATTACAGATAATACTAAGCAATCAGATATAAGAGCTAAAGGACTCGGTATCATTTACCAAATGGAAAGTTTCGAGTTTATTTTTGCCATGCAAATGCTAGATCCAATTTTGAATTTAATATTACATGTAAGTACAGTTTTACAGTCATCTAACATCAATTTATTAACAGCTATTGACCTTGTTAGGTCATTAAAAAAATCATTAGAATCTATGAGAAATTATGATAATGATTTTAAAAATATTTACAAAAACACAGAACAACTGTGTGAAGAAAATTGTATTACTATTCCTGATGTTAAAAAAAGAAAAGTATCATCTAAAATAGATACCATGACCAATCAACATTTTATGTTTAGTAAAAAAGATGAAATGAGAATTAATGTATATTATCAAACATTAGATCAGTTGATAGCTGGATTAAATTTAAGATTTAACCAAGAAACATTAAAGATGATAGAAAGTATGGGTCATTTATTGAAATTAGAAACCAATAATGTTGATATTCTTCTTCTTTCATCTGTATTCAATTTAGATGCTGCCAACTTAGAAACTGAAATTCGTCTACTTAAACAATCAACAGACTTATCAGAATGTAACAAAACAAATTGTGAAAAGTGGATGGATTGGTTAACTATCTCTGGAACCAGCAGAGAAGTTATATTTTGTAATGTATTTGAAGCTTTAAAATCATTCATGGTCATTCCTGTGACGACTTGTTCATGTGAAAGATCATTTTCGAAATTGAGCATAGTAAAAACCAAACTTAGAAGTGTTATGTTACAAGAACGTTTAGATAACCTTTTGACTATGTTCATAGAACAGGAACTAGCATACAATGTTGACCTTGAGGAAGTTATTGAAACGTTTAAAACATTAAGGCCAGCTGAGCGACGTATGGAGTTATAAAATAATAAAATATACTGTACAAAAATTCATGTTATTTTTTTTAGTATGAGGTATTACTAGCCTAAAAATTTGGACTAATATAGTAATATATAAATGGTTTTTTTTTAAATTTAAATGTTTTTATTATTTATATTTATAATTTTTATTTACAAAATTATTCAATGAGTAAATTGGAAGGGGTTTTATTGGTGTGAAGGGGAAGTCACCCATTAACGACTCCCCCCCCCCCTTTCCCAACATATAGTTAGATAGTTTAAATATTTTCTGCCCCCCCCCCTGCCAAGAGGGTCTAGTACCGTCTATGGCTGTAGTGTTGTAGAAATATGAATAAATAATATTATTATAATGGTATATCTACTAAAACTGTTGTAAATATTCATAATAAAGTAAAGTTATTTAAAATAGTTTTTTATTGATATATATATACCTAATTTTGAAAACATTTTTTCAGTTATACCTTAGTTATTAATTAATAATAATATTCACGGCTAACATTAATTTAAACATATAGTCGGTGTTTATATAGTATTGAAGTACTAAGTAGTATCTAAGATGTACTCTCAAAAGTTGGACTTTATAATAGTGTAATATACTGGTAGTCTAGGTGACTACTAGTATATTTACGTTGCAGGTAGCTAGACCGTTTCGCTGATGATTGATGGGGTAATGGTTGAATAAATTGTACACCGATGTAAAATACAATCAGGTTTTATTTAAATGTTTCCAGTAAATCGTGCTAAGTCCAAATGACAATTATTACACAGAGTCTCGTGAAGATGCTTGCAGTAGAGATGAGTGGACACGTCTGAATACAGGCAGTTTCGGGGTCCCTCTTATAGTCCGGTCCCCGCTCCCCTTTCCTAGTGATACTGTATCTCGATTCCCACGGATGTGGTCTATGTGGCCATCGACCCAACTACGCATTTGTAATATTCCTAATCTATTTTGCGTATTACCATAATGTACTGATAGTTCATTTATGGACTGTCAATTTTCTTATAATGAATCATACTACTTTTTTTATATCGAATATCTGTCATATAACACTATTGCATATATCACATCCGCCTATTCTACATGATTGTCAAGTCGCACTAATCTGTTGTGGTATTATTCCGAATATCGTTTCCCATTGAGTTAGTAATTGATTGATCGTAATTTTGTTCATGATTTCGTTTTGGGCATTATACCCCCCCATGGTTTATTTGATTAAGTATAATCGAAAAGGTTAACTAGTTCTTGACCTATTCGATTATTACCTATCTACAGTATGCCATGCTAAATATATTACCTGTCGGGACTTTAAATATTACGTAGTAACTTGCTTACTACAGTAGGTATTAAAAAAAAAAAAAAACATCTTTTTTTTATCTAGATAAAAATGTATTTATCTTCAATTTTCATCTAGATAGATTTGAATTTAGTTATCTTTTATCTTTATCTAAATAAAACAAGTACTTATCTAATCCCAACACTGCCAATAACATTAGTGTTAGGCACTGTTATATAGGTACCTACCTACTATAATATACTACAACACTATGTTACCGACAAATTATTTTATTTTTATTATTATACTCAAGGCGAGTTACTATGGGTGTTTATTGTAAGGACCTAGGCACTGTGTGCCCTGGATTGGTCACACTGCGCCTCGCGCCCACGCCAGCACGGACGACCGCAGAGGTGGCACGTCTGGGCAGTTGAGTTGTGTTTTTTGTAGTGACCGGTGACATCATTTTGTCCCGCGTCCCCGCCTCCCCGGCGACCGTAACCGACGGACCATAAATCTAAATACCGTATTATTTCCGTTGATGTTTCACCGCCCATGTAATTATTTATAATATATTAATTCTGTCGTAATTGTTCGTAATAAAGTAAACGGCGAATCGCAATATCACTAGTTAATATATTATACCGAAGGTTACCTATTCCTGACCAGAATTATCTGCTACCGAACCATTATATTATTTGCTAACAACTAAAATAATTTAGTAAATAATATAATGATAGGTTATGAGGCTTTTTTGTTACTAAACCAACCTTTTGTCATCGTCTTTAGTTTCATGAATCTTTCTATGAAATGGGTTTGATCGGTTCCCAAAATTCTGTAAAATGTACCCCGTCCCTCGTACCTCCAGGATATCGATTGTGTTGACTTCGTAGATGTTGTGGTTGTGAACTTGTGACGGATCTGTTCGTGTTAAATACCATCAACAGGTTAGCATTGACGTTCCAAGGAATCACCTTCGGGTGTTGCAGCATATCAGACAAGCCGTCATACAAAGTGCCTTTGCTAATCGAAACTCGGAGAGTCGTGTTATAATCGTCGATCTTCTCATAAACTGCGAGGACAAGAGGACAAGAGAAAGAAAAATTAATCAACATTATGTAAGCAAGATTAAATTATAGGGAAACACGTATCCAGAGTTCCACCATTTTAAAAATATTATTATACAAGTTGTTTCAAATATCTTATAAAATAGTCTGCTAATAATTTAACTTAGCTTGGTGAACTAAGTTAAAAATTAAAAATACTATGGCATAATGAGCACATATAGCCTACTATCACTGAAATAATGTATTACTAATCATGTGTTTTAAAGTCGTCAAGCTAAGTTAAATTATTAGAAGACTATGGGCCGGTTGCACAAAAAAAAATGTATTGGTCCTATAACTTATTGGCTCTATAGGTTTTATCGGTTTGATAAAATATTTTATTGATAGATAAAAATTAAAAATCGTTGCACAAATCATTTCTTATATTATTATATTTTGAGCCACATACCATAATGGTTCAGAGTGGTTCAATTATTTAAGGTTATGGTTCATTATTATTTTGATAAAATTGTTCTGTGATAATATAAAGATGTTGATAACAGAAGTTATTTTTAAATTTGAATTTGATAGTTAATAATAATAATTACATAATACATAATTGTATTCTTCGTCTACACGAATACTAGTGGTGTACTGGTGTATAAAATAAGTATTGCTTTTTGATTCTAACGTCTAATATTTACAAATTACAATCATGTCTATGTCCACGAGTGAATCCATAAAACGTAAACGAGGAAAAAATTTTAATGAAAACGAAAAATCATCACTACTGGATATTGTAGCAACATATACGGATGTTATTGAGTGTGTTAGGGTATTATTATATTTTATTCTAGACTGTTGTGTATGTGTGTAATTTATACCTGTTTTTTTTTTTACTTTTAGACAGATGTAAAAAGTGTCAAAGACAAAAATAAAGTGTGGGAATTAATTCAAAATGAGTATAATAGTATTCAATCATCAGGATTCAGAAATATTGACCAATTAAAAGCTCTTTATGACATACTAAAAAGAAATGCCAAAAAAGAAAAGTGTAATGATAAAGTAATTACATCTTCTAAAGTTTTTTGTAATTACCTAATGAAGTATCCATTATGCTTATAACATGTTATAACTCCATAGGTGGAATTATATAAAACAGGTGGAGGTAAAAAAAATTCAACCGTCAGTGCCTTAAGTGAAAAAGTAATTGGGATTCTTGGTAATCAAATTGAGCCTCTCATAAATGAGTTTGATTCTGATGCAAATTATGTTAATAACCGTTAGTAAAATTGGTATTATTAAATAATAAATGTGATTACTGATAGTGATAACTAATACAGTGTAATAATAATTTTTTTAACTTGTAGTTCAGCAAATAGAAATTCCTATTAAAGAGTCCTATAGCCTAATTGAGGTTTTAGGTGAAAATGATTTAACTATTGACATCGCACAAAATGAAGGACAAAATAATACAGAAATAGTTTATATTGACGATTGCGAGAATTACATGCATCCAAAAAAAGAATGTAAGTTTCTATTAGTTTGATTCATCACATTGTAGATTCCACCAAGCAACTGTGGGCTTTTTTCATGAGAATTTCGCTTGACCTTAATTTATTTAATTTTTATTTCATTTCATTTCTCGGTAACAAGAATACTGGGCCCCACTGAGACTCTCGAGTTGGGGCCAAGGAATCTTTAATTTAAACATATACATTTTAATATAAATTAATTAATAATTTGTACAATCTGAAAAATTAAACTAACAGCTATTAAAGTAGGTATAATATAAACTTTAAAATTTAAACTTTATTATACATTACTTAAAAGAAACTTTATAACATAAGCTTAGACATTGCTTTGACATAACAACAATCTCTAAAACAAAGTTTGATTCCTATTATTATATTATATTTAATTTAATTATAGAAGACCTATGAAATCAGTAGGTACTTATTAGCCAATGTGTTATATTTCTATTAAAATGAATAGGGTTTGAATTTAATATGTTTTCCGGCAACATGTTTGCAGTTTTAGATCCAGTGGTTTCCAATTGCAACTCAGTTGTTGTATAATTTTGGTTTCTTTTATCCAAGATACTTTGTAATTCCCTAAATACATAAACATTTTCCTGACTTTATTAGTTACTTAGTTTATACTAAGTAACTATGTACCACCGCATGTTACTACACATTTCTATACCTAGATATTTTGTGTGCTTATTTATCATGATTTTTTACAACAAGCATTTTGAAAACAAACGATATCCCCCTTTAATAACTTTTCACTGAATATTCAAATACCTACCATTGCATTTTAAATACTTTAACAAATAAGTATTGTCCTAAATTTAAAACATGTAGTCATGTAGGTTACTTCACCTACACCTAACTATTGTGGTTAGATTAGATTTTGATAATTTAATGAATATCTATTTATTTTTTGTAACAGGTACTAATAAAAAGTATAAAAATGATATATGTGAGGATTCCACATCAGGTCCAGCATATACTGGCAAAGGTGTATATAAATCACTTTTAGAAGTATCTAGTAAACGTATGAAACGTACTGATTTACTAACCAAATACGAAGAAGATATTTTAAAAACAAAATTGGAAACTGCACTTATTAACAAAGAAACTGCAATGTTTGAGTTAAACATTGCAAAACAAAAATTTGAGACAGAACAATATATTTATGAGTCATTGAAACAAAAGAATGCTGAATGATAAATGTTAATTCCATTTGTAACATATTGTTGATTACTTTTATTTAACTTAGAGAAACCTATAATTTAAAACACCTAATTTCAATCAATTTTAAGTTATATGTATTGATAAGTAACAAAGACTGTTTACTGTTTTTTTTATATTTTAAATTAGGGTTGGATATAATAATTACCAATGTATTACATTTTAATTAATGGCAAAAAACTGTTTAGTATTTACTGTTATTTTATTTTTATAAATTTAATTGTCTGAAAAATAAGAATTTATAAAATGTAAGCGAACTGCATTTCCACTTTTTCTTAATTGCACAGCTGGTAATTCACCGCTTTGTATTTCTGTAATATCTGTATGGTCGTCTTCATTTTCAGGAGGTATATCATTTCTTCTTCTTAAAATATTATGAAGGATAGCTGTTGCAGTAATAATGATCAATGCAGTTTGTGGAGTTGTGCGTATACCTAATGATAAAGCTGGAAAGCGCCTTTTCCATATACCAAACGTACGTTCGACAACATTTCTTGTAGATATCTGTGCTTTCTAAACATACATTTGTTAAAAAATGTACTAGTAAATTATAGAAAATTTTAATAACGAACTTGATATCTTTTTTCACCAACACTAGTTGGGTTTAACAGTGGAGTGAGCAGATAGTTCTTACACTGATATCCCCCATCTCCTAGTAGCACACTATCCCCAAATTCATTGTTTTCAAAACGAGCACGAAGTAATGAATTATCGAAGACTGTGCTATCATGAACACTACCTGGCCGCCTTCAATTTTTAAAATATCTTTTGTAATAAAATTCTTATACCTAAATTAAAGTATTACGCACTTTGCAACTATGTCCAAAAATTCTAATTTTGCATCACTTACACCTTGGACATTGAAAGAAAAAAACCCTTTGCGATTTCTGTATCGCTCTCCAACATCCTTATTAGGACATTGGATTCTAATATGAGTTCCATCTACTGCACCGAGTACCCTGGGAAATTGCCTTATGTTATAAAACATTGTTGATGCAGTTATAATATCTTGTGTAGTATTTGGCATTTTAATATAATTTGGACGCATACTAGCTATAGCTCTTGAAACACACTTAACAGTTCTACATACAGTTGATTTATGGACATGAATATGATCCCCAATTACTGCCTATAAATTAAATAAATATAATATTATCTAAATACAAAATAAAAATAAATTGTTTTCATCTGACTTGAAAAGCGCCTGTTGCATAAAATCTGAGTGCGATTAATAATTGTAAATGTGGAGGTAAAGCATAACTGCGTGAGGTTCTATGTAAAATCTGGTCCCGAATCAAAAATAAAACCTCTGAAAATGAATCTTTTGAGAGCCTGTATCATAGAGTAATAAATATATTATATGCATATTGACGTATAGTTAAAGTTAAATGGAACTTAAGCCACATTCCAATATACAGAACATAAATTTAAAACAAGATGGATTTTCATAAATAGACAAATAGTTCATAGTTTTCATTGTTCTGAGATTTTTCTAGGATCATTATATCATTTACCTGAATCGACGTACAAAATCAGCATCATCATACTCAACTAAAGGGTCATTTCTATTTCGATATACACGCTCTTTCGGTAGTATTCCAATAACAATCATCGCAAATTCATCATCAGAATCTGATGATGAAAAGTTCATTTCATTTCTATCCATAATGTGATTTAACTTATGCAGGCACTTATTTCCTGATTAATTTGTGAATATGCAAATTGGCATTTTATTCGAAAATAATAAAAAAACAAATATCTCATTTGATATCTCATTATTATGTTGATAAGGTTTCATTAATTTTATTTTATTGAACCAATAAAACTTATTGGACCAAAATCGGGCCTATAAATTTATGGATCAATAGTGACTAATGGCCGATAACTTATTGGTTCAATAACTTTGTGCAACGTATTTTAATTTTTATCGATTCAATAACTCAACTTATTGGACCAATAACTATTTATTGAACCAATATAGTTTTGTGCAACCGGCCCTTAGAATGCAGGGTAAAGACTATTGTTCGATCCGTTTGATAACCAGCTGCCGCCGTCGGTGGTCGCGATGTTTACCGTCAACCGCTACGTTGGCTAGACTGTCACGGTAGCCGTTACCGGGTTCGGCGCCGGCGTATCCGTGCGGTCTCATTTTGTCTCACTTTTGCTCTGGTCGTTGCTCGCTCCAGCTCTTCGTGTACCTACCTGCTCGTCTTGATAATTTACCTGCACTCCCATCACATTACTGCCGATCAGATTCAAACAAAATGTATTTAGAATCATTTTTTGAAACAAAATTATCTTTGTATAATGCCTATGTAGCCACATTACATAATAATGATAATGCAGTTGATAAAACTAATGTCTTTTTAAAATTAAAATCTTGCTCTGTATTCACCGAAAAAGGATCTGAGCGATTTATGTGAAGGATACAAGTATGGCCACATAAGTCAAGAAGTGTATGATCATCATCAACAAAGGAAAGAGGATGCTAGAGATGCAAACAATTTGGACAAACATTTTGCTATGAATAATATTACCAAATATGTATCTCTAACAATGGATGTACAAGCGGTAAAATTAGCTCCATTCATCAGAGCATCTTCAATGTACTATAAGACAAAACTATGTGTCCATAACTTTACAGTTTTCAACCAAACTACGGCTGATGTATGTTGTTATCTATGGGATGAGATAAATGGAGGATTAGAGGCTTCTATTTTTGCTACCATGATGGTAGACTATTTAGACAACGTAATCCAAAGTAAACCTACTGTTAGCAATATATCAATTTATAGTGACGGTTGTGGATACCAAAATCGTAATACAACTGTATCCAATGCAATATTAAAATTTGCAATTGATCAACAAGTGACAATTACTCAAAATTATTTAGAGAAAGGCCATACACAAATGGAAGTCGATAGTGTCCATCACACTATTGAAATGAAACTTAAAAAAAGAGAGATTTACTTACCTACAGATTATATAAATGTATGCAAAGATGCTCGAATTAAAAATCCATACAGGGTTAAATATTTGAATTTTAGCTGTTTCAGTGATTATTCGTTATTAAAATATTATGCATCTATAAGACCGGGTTATAAAAAAGGGTACCCTACGGTTACTGACATAAGATGTCTCAAGTACAATCCAGACGCAACAATTCAATATAAAATTAATTATGATGAATAATGATTAATTTACCAAACAAGAACAGGAAAGAACACAACTATACTATAAACAATTTGTATAATGAACCAATTAAAATTAAAGGAGATAAATTTCTGCACCTCCAACAGCTAAAATTAGTCTTGCCTAAGCATACTTGGCATTCTATGACTCCGTACAATACACCAAAAATAAAAAAAAGTGAAATTTGTATTATTTACACTATTTGTATTACATTATTTAATGTTAATTATTTTTAATTTGTTCATGTTTTAATAGTTAAATCATCTTTTTTTTTATTTTTTCATGTTTTGATAGTTAAATCATTTTTAATTTGTTCATGTTTTAATAATTAAATCAACATTGTTTTTATTAAAGGATAATTATTTGCACAAATTATTATAAAAGTTTTTGAAATTTTTCATATTTTTTATTTTATTCATTTTTATTATAAATAAAAAGATTTTAATTTTTAATCAAAAACTCGTAAGTCAAATTTACTTAAAATCAAAACCTGCTAAGTAAAATTAATTAATTATAAGAACTCGTAAGTCAAGTTTTTTAAAAACCAAAAACTCGTAAGTCAAATTATTTACACAATTATATTAAAATGTTATTTTTTTTGTCTTTCAAAAATGTTGAGTAATCATACAAGTAGTATAAAGTTATAAAACTGTATAATTGTCAAATATTAATATGTGTCACAGTTTTTCGCTTCTCCTGAACAATTTGATAAGTGACTTACGAGGTTTTGCCATGTAGCCATCGATGTCCAACTGTAGAGATAAGTTGAGAAATCGTAGCTGTTTGGAGTTAGGCTGTTTTTCAAAGGCTGATGTTGATTTTTTTTTTACTTGATTTAATATATGTGACACATTCTGGAATACTTTTCAATAAAATAACTTTTGGTCGAAAAGCTTTTGATTTTGAAGTAGATAACTTTTAGTGCATCGAGGTAAACACAATGCTTCATCAAATATATCTAAATTTTTCAATTGTTAAGAGACACCAACATTGCCCAAACAATTGGGCCAATGGTGCGCCAACATTGTTTTTTCATTTGTTTTTTTTTTTTTTTTTTTTAATTTAATAATGGACGACATGGAAGTGTCATTGACCTAAAAAACTTACAATCACATTTGATTATAGTCACATCAACATTGTCAAGGCACATGTTAACTATTATGAGACTAGCCATGTATTCTTTTTCAACATGGTTAAAAGTGTATTGTGTTAAAAGGTCCGAATATTTTTTAATTGGTAGCTTATTATATAGTATAATGGTATTTTATGTATTACATTTATAGCTTTATGATCTCGTTCTGTTCGTTCTATATGTAATTCAATAAAAAAAATGTGTTAACAATTCTTCAAGATAACTTAATTTTCTTACTACGGATTTCAAATTACGATTTAATGATTCCGTCCTATTATTGATAAAATTTAAAAATTTTTCATTTATAAAGGCATCAACCCATTTGTCTTTAATAGGATCCCAGTTGTCATCAAAATATTTCATTATTTGCGCCGGAAAATCTATCTCATGGTTTCATATATTTCATTATATTGTTGATCTGATTTAGCATAAGAAATTTGCTGTAAATACTCTTTTGCTATGGTTTCTTCAATTGGGGTAATACCCAATTTACTTGACGTAATTTCACGTTTAAAAATTTGAAAAACATGAAATTTACATAATATTAATTTTGCTGTTGGGAAATTACATTTTAATACACTTCTCATCGTTTCATCTTCATCTGTCATAAATGTCTTGATTAATATACTTTTCTCGTTTTTGCTTTTGAATGCGGTTGTGACAATTTTAAAAAGTGTAAGAATTCCCGTTTTTCCCTATTATAGGTAATGTATACAACCCCTTAAAATTGTCTATACAATGATAATAACAATTTTGTTTTGAACTTATTGTGCCGTGTATTGTAATAATTATTTTACCATAGAGGTATACGTTATTAATAATAATAAATAATTAACAACTTCGGCGAATTTTCAATAATAAAGAGAGGACTGTATTAAATTGAAATACACCACGCAGCATGGAAATATAATAAATAATAATAATTCATAATAATCATACAAATATAGGGATGTAGGCGCCCACCTACTATATAATATAATATTTGACAAATATTGTTCGTTATTCGAGACAATACATATAATAATCCAAAACGCCGCGAAGGCAATAATAAATAAATCAAAATACAAATAACGATATGGTATCATAAACAAAACATTTGATTATATACAATGATAAAACCACGTATCACTCTTGTGATACCGCGTTACTGGTTGCCGCCGACCACTTGACCATAACATCCAAACAATGCCCGCCTGCCCGCTACGCTACCGCGATCCTAAATGCTCGATGCACTCCCGTTGTCCGGTAGACTCGCACTCGCGCGCGATCACTAACGGATATTATATTGGCTTACTACCGCCGTGCCCGTGACTGCTTGAATTACCCGCGTAAGTCAAGCAATTACACGACGGTTGTAATGATAATGACTGAGTCGCCCGTTCGCACTCAAGACGTTATATAAATTAGACGCCAAAGATGGCGAATATACTGCACTGCACTTGATTCCGTAATCAAAACGTTGAAAGGCGAAGCGACGCGTAAATAAGTTACGGAACGAACGCGACTTCGACAACGGCGGTGGGCACGGAACGAGTGAACGACTAATTAATTGTGTATTCTATTCTATCTCGAAAGCCGGTTCGCGCTATAGAGAGGCGGGGAGTGCGGTCTTCTAGATCATTCTATGGCTTATCGGCGTGGACCATAGAGTAATATAGAGAGGGTCTAGTCCATACCGTACGTGTTCAGAAAATGAAGCAGGCCAGTTTGAAGAAGTACTCACTTGCCGAAACTATTGGCCGCGAGATAGCGCGCAAATTCTAACCTCAGATTTATATTTTGTACGTTTTTTATTTTTTACCGTCAAGTGTAAACAACAACAACGTTTTTGTATTTTGTCAACTGTCGTCTGTCACTCCGCAGTCGACTCTTAAGTCTTAACTCTTGTCTCTTAATTCAATCTCCGCGTTTTATATATTCAGATATTCTAATATTGCTAGTTTCATTAAAATATTACAATGCCCAGCTGTAATTTGTGTGGTAGAACCCAAAACTCTAAAAGTAAAGAAAACAAAATTACTTTTCACAGGTGAGTGAGATTTATTAGTATTGTTTAATGGATTGACATCATTGTAAATTGAATACAATTGTATTGTTGTGCTTTCTTATAAAGTATAAGCATCTAACAAATCATACTTGGTATAATCTTTCAGAAATCTCTTTCTTTCATGAGCATCTGAAGTTATTCCACTATTATTTTTTTTTTCTTAATACATTTTGAATGATTTTGCTTACATAGGTATCCAAAATGTCCAGATATCCATGAAAAGTGGATCGAGTTTAGTAGACACTATGATGAGCATAGAAGCATAATAATTAATGAAAAAAGTGTTGTGTGTTCAGCTCATTTTGTGGCTGACTCTTTTAATGTTTATATTAAAAATACTATGTTAAAACCTACAGCTATGCCATCATTGATTATTCAACGTGTTCGTTTTGTAAGTTAATTGTACCTACATAATAATTTTAAATTAATTTTATAATCATTCATTATACTCAATTTATTATTATCATATTATTATATTAGGCTAAATTAGATTATCCCGAGATAACAACAAATTTGCATTCTCATGAGAAACAAAAAGTAGATGGTATGGAAGATATTAGTTGTAGTTCAAGTATAACTTCAAATTCTCCTAAGTTATTGGAACCTGAAATTGATGGAGTTGAATGTTTGGAACTAAGTAGTTCTTATGGTAAAATTGCAAACGCCACTGACAGTCCAATGACAGTGAAAAACATCTCTAATAACGAATTGCCAACCAAGGTGTGTTTAATTTTTTTTTTTTGTGTTTAATAGTTTATCGTAGTTTATCACAATATTAATATTTATTTTTTTACTAGATCAATAGAGAATTGTTTGTTGAAGCCAGTGTTGTGGAAGACGATGCCACACCCAGGAGACGATTTCTTAAACGAGGAATTTCCGTATTATCCCATGACACTGATATGAAATCAAAAAAAATTAAAATTTTGAACCAAACAATCCGTCGTCAAAGGAAAAAAATTGTTTCTTTAAAATGCATTATTTCAAGCCTTAAAGATAACAACTTGATAAACGAAGACACATCAACATTGTTATTGGATAATTTTGGTGAGAATAAACATTTAATTTCAAGGCTTGCTAAGAAAAATGCTGGAATAACGCCAACTAGAAAATATTGTCCAGAACTCCGTAGATTTGCTATTTCCTTGCACTTTCGTTCCGTATCTGCTTACAACTTTGTCAGGAAAGAATTTAATACAATTCTTCCACATCGTCGAACGCTTGGTAAATGGTATTCTAATATCAATTGTGAACCAGGGTTTACATCAGAAGCTTTGAACACTCTTGCTTTACAATTTAGAAATACTTTAAAACCTGTATATTGTGCTCTAGTAATGGATGAAATGGCTGTAAGGCAGCATGTAGAATGGGATGGAACAAATTACCATGGCTATGTAAATGTTGGTGAATCTATATGCAATGAAACTATGGAAAAAGCTAAAGAGGCCTTAGTTTTTTTAGTAGTTGCTATAAATGAAGCATGGAAAATTCCTGTCGGTTATTTTTTAATAAATCATATTAATAGTTCACAGAAATCAGAATTAGTTAGTCGTTGCATAGATCTTCTAACTAAAACTGGAGTAACAATTGTTTCTCTTACGTTTGATGGATGCCCAACCAACATAAATATGGTCAAAATTCTTGGTTGTGGTTTGGATGCAGACAACTTCAATACAAGTTTCAAAGTTGATGGTGTTGCTAACACCATATCCATAATTCCAGATCCTGCCCATATGGTAAAATTAATAAGGAATGCTTTTGGGGAAAAACGACAATTTATTGACATGGATGGGGGTGTCATTGATTTTGAATATATCAATAAACTGTTAATCTTGCAAGAAGACGAAGGTTGTCATCTAGCAAATAAGCTTAAAAAGCAGCATGTATTTTATGCACGGCAAAAAATGAAGGTAAAGCTAGCGACCCAACTTTTAAGTCAATCTGTATCTGAAGCTCTTACGTTTTGTAGAGATAAATTAGAACTTCCGGCTTTTAAAGACAGTGGTCCTACTATAAAATTTATTAAATATTTCAACGACGCATTCTACATCCTAAATTCTAGGTCCATAAATCAGTATGGGAAATCAAAAGCTGTATGTAAAAAAAACATTATTGAAATTAAGGAATTTTATGAAGAATTTTCTAATTATATTAAAAAATTAAAATTAGTAGAAAATAAAAATGGCCAAATAACTCATGTACTAATTTTAAAATCTGCAAGGAAAACTGGTTTTTTGGGATTTCTTATTTGTTTTGAATCTCTAAATTCATTATACAATAATTATTTGATGCCCGATTTAATTGATTATATTTGCTTTTATAAACTTAGCCAGGATCATATTGAGCTTTTTTTTGGTACAATCCGGTCTCATGGTGGCCACAATGATAATCCTACAGCTCGTCAATTTAGATCCGCTTATCGTAAATTATTAATAAATGCCAAGATCAAAGATGGATCTCTAGGAAATTGTATACCTTTAGATGAAATTGATATACTAAATTGCTCTAGTGCCACCAATACCATAAAAGATCCAGTAGACATAATTAATGAAAGTAATGCTATTTTGTATAAAGATATAATTTCACAGCCCCAAACTCATCATATTAAAGATCACGATTATATAATTGTATCTGATCAAAATATTACCATGAGTAACTATATAAAAGAAGTTGTTATTTATATCTCTGGTTTTATTTGTCATAGATTATCATCTAAAATTAAATGTGATATTTGTTGTAATGCTTTGTTTGGTGATAAAAAAGATTTTATGACTTCATTAATTAATGTTAGAGACAAAGGTGGATTGTCTTACCCAAGCGATGATGTCATTTTAATAGCCCTTCAAACTGAAAAATTTATGAAATCTTACAGTTCTGACATAAAACCATTAAACAAAATGTTAATTGTTACAAAAACATTAAGTTATTTTTGTAACAATCATATATTTGATTCAATTTATAACCATAATTCTGACAATGGTCCATTTTCAAACCATATCATCTTACTTATGAAATCTATTATCAATTCATATTTTGATATTAAAACATATTACTCGTGTAGAAAACTAAATGAAACTGATTCAATGCGATCGTGGTACAATAAAATGACATTATTTAGAGGACAGTAAATTTTATTTTGAAACCTATACTTTTTTAAATTTTTATAAATTGTGTATAATATGTAAATATGTATAATAAATATGTACCTATTTTATCATAAAAGTTGTTATTTTTTTTATTTTTTTTTAATTAATTTATTTTTTATTTGTAACATTTTGTATTAAAATTTACGTTTACAGTTTGTTAATTTTTTTGTTTTTACTTTAAACCCTGCACACAGTACGTCATAATAAAATTGTACGGTATTAACACAATGTAACATATATTTATTATGTGTATTGTGTATCACGTATTTTGAATCTTATATTCATAATATATTTTATAAATGACCAAAGTACTTATTATTAATTATTATATTATAATACTATAGTAATAATATAATAATATAATATTTTGGTACAATATTCCCATTGTACAATAATATGTTGAAAACGCATTCAATATACTTATGAATAAGATGGTACAATAGTACTTATTGTATGTTGTGGTAACACTGAAAGTACACCTACTCCGCTTCAATTCGCGTTCGTAAGGCCCTCTCTATATTACTCTATGGCGTGGACCCATGACCAAAATAAATATTGTCGCCGACGGAGTCGGCACCGAACAGAGCTATTTATAAGGACATTTTCAATTTTAAAAATAATAATTTATAAATTAACACTTACAAAGTTTTTCGATTTGATGTTTTAATTTTTTCCCTGAACTTTTGACCTCCGTGAATGCAACTAAATTTTACTTAACTGTATTTCAAATTTTTGTTAAGAGTATCAAAACGATCATTGTTCATTCTAATTATAAAACAAGATACCTTAAAACATTTACGTAATTTTTTTATTCAATGATATAATTTAAACTACAATAGAGACAAACTACTCAATTAAAAGATTTAGAATACAAAAGCCAATTTCTAATCGCATTTTCACCGTTGGCCATTATTCTATTAGAATGTATTAAGGTACGGTTTCCCTGCAGCGTCAGACGCGAGAACAGCATGGCTGGGTCAGACGCGACCTACGTCCAGACCGGTAGTGACGCTAGACGCCGCGTCCAGACGCTGCAGGGAAACCGTACCTTTACGCTAAATTTGCGACCTTCATCGTTAGATGGAAACTTAAAATTTTTAATTTTTGAAGGTTTTTAACTAAATAAATTCGTAATTTATCATTAATATTTTGTGGCCAGTTACCTGGATCGTCGTTGTTGTTTTCTTCTTCATGTACTTTTCTGCTCTCGATGTCTTCTTTTGGTCGTAAATCATCTGATACTAGTTGCACATTTTTATATTCATCACTATCACTATTGGATTGAACTTCTACTTTTTCAGAATAAACTTCGTCGCTATCGTTAATTAGAGATTCGCATTTATTTGACTTTAAATTTGACCACTATCGGCTATAGTATCATTTTGGCCTCTTTTAAAAAATTTGAATAAAGAGTTTTTATGAAGTTCATTTTGATGTTCAATAGCAATCTTAAGTTTTCGTTTTTCACAGCCTCTTTTAAATTTTAGATATTTATCACGTAATCGACCACTCATTTTAATATTATTGTATTCACAGATATAAAATACTAGATAGCTAACTAGGCATCGAACATTGAAGTTATCCGCCATATGCGTGTATGCGTGATTTTTTGCCAACAGTCAGTTAATAGCTGATATTCAGTATTTTATTCCAAAAAATTTTGATTTGGTTGCTAGTATGCCAAACATAGCTTTAACATATTTATCTGAAGTGTCAAACATTCCAAAAGATAAACTTCATTCAGAGTTAAAGAGTTTTGTTGCAGTTTTTCCAAAAATATCTACATCAATTAAAGAACGCACTCAGACAATGTATCAAGAGCAATATGTTTCAGAAGATGATGATAATAATGAAGAATCAATTAATGAATTTTCTGATATATTAGAAGACAATACTCTTGAATTATTTGGTATGTTTAATAATAACTGATAAATATTTTCCTAAATTTTATTAATGAATTATTTATGCATGTAATACTTGAAATTGTTGTAGGTAATGATTTCTACCAGGAGAAGAAGTGTTCTTTAAGTATCGATCATGATCCGAAAAATTGCTCAAACTGTGTGTACAAAGTATTATATTCATTAAATTTACATGTTTTTTCTTATAGTTATCTCTGTGAAGCTTATGAATTTTTAGATTCTGAGTGGAACGATGAATGTATTGATTTTACAATGATGTGTGTTTTTTAGATTCTGAGTGAAACGATGAATGTATTGATTTTACAATGATGTGTGTTTTTTTATTTTTTTTTTATTTTTTTATTTTTTTTTTTTTTTTTTATTTTTTTATTTTTTTTTGTGTCTGTCATCACGTTTTAGGACAGTAAAAGTGCTTGGATTTTCTTCATCAGTAGCTTTTCTGATAGGAAAGTGAATCTAGTTGGTACTTTGGGGGGTCAAAAGTATAAATTTCCCAGTAGTTTTCACAAGCGCCGGGAAAAACAACATAAAAATTAAGGAAAAACGGGAATTTTTACGCAAAATTGGTTTTCCAAAAAATCGATTTTGGTTTTTGGTGTAACTCTAAAACAAATGAACGTATATACATGAAATTTTCACTGGTTGTTTATATTTGCATTTTCTATACACGATAACATTTTCAAAATATTTTGATTTATTTTGAACTGTTTAGGGACATTTTCATTTTTCATTTTTTTTTAGTTTTTTTTCTAGAAATATCAATAAAATTTTATTTGTTGGTTGCGAAAGCTTGAAAATTTAATAGAAGGCTCCTAATATGTTGTTTCAAAGGCAGATGAAAAATATTAAAAATCCTTAGTCACAATTTTTTTTTTTAAGCATTTGAAGTTCAAAAATTGACAAAATATGGAAAAATCACGAAAATTAGCAAATTATTTTGAGTTAAGAATTCGTAAAAATGTATCTTTTTAAATCTAAGATTTGAAAATGAAACACAAGATTCCTTATAAGATTATCTACCTTTATCAATAAAATAATCTCTACCGGACAGTCAAATTAAATTTTTATGAGCGTTTGAAATTCAAATTTTTACAACATTGGATTTTCACTCGATTACTCATGTAGCGATTTCCTTATTTTGTTGCAATTCAAAAACGAACAACTGTAGATACATGAAAATTTCACTGAATGTTTAAATTAGCATTTTCTATACACCATACAATTTTGAAAATATTTTGACTCTTTTTGAGCTGTTTACGGACATTTACAGCTTTCAATTTTTTTTAGTTTTTTTTTCTATAAATATCAATAAAGTTTTATCTGTTGAGCCAAAAAGTGTAAAAATTTAATACAAGGCTCCTGATATATTGTTACAATAGCAGTTGAAAAATATTAAAAATACATAGGCACAGTTTTTTTTTATAACCATTTAAAGATCAAATTCTCGAAAATTATCAATCATTGTAAATAATAAATTATAAAATGTTCAGTTTTTATAGCTAAGGATTACAAATTCAACACAAAGGTTCTCATAAACAGACAAACAGTTCATACTATAACCAAAAAATCTAAAAAATATATGAACACACTTATTTTTTACAGACATTTTAAATTCAAATTTGGACGAAATTACATATTAAAAAACCTAGAATAACTATTTTAGTTATTTTGTTGTGATTGAATAATATTATTCGTGGGTACTTGAAACTTCTAAAGTGTACTATTATATATCTATGATAGTATCACGGTTTTTGTTGATGTATAACGCGTTATAATTATCTAATGGATATTGTGATATGATTAATTTGGAATTTATTATAGGTACCTATTATAGGTCAATTTTTTGTTTAATACCATAAATATGTATATAATATGTCTGATACATAGACTGACATACCGTCTCCGCTCAGAATCGTTTTTCTTATACAATGATATTATATCATTGAATTCAAATTTAATACCATCCATTATACAGTGACCCACTTGTAACCTACTGTACAGCAGAGCGACACCCACTTGCCCACCTTTTTTTAACTTTACCTGTAACACAAGTGAATTGTGAACGGACATTCAGTAAACTTAAAATAACAAAAAATCGTCTTCGTTCTAATTTAAGATCAGAAAATTTAGAAGCATTACTGATTATGTCAATTGAAAAACAGATGTTAGAAGATGTAGAAGTATCCGATATTATTAATTACCTTAAAAGTACATCAACTTTAATGCTAAATATGTTTACATAAATTTTAATTACATTATGTTCTAATAAACATTTTTCTTCTGTAACATGATTTACTTATATTACTATTATTTCAGAATTTTAGAACTTATTAACATAAAAACTAAGTAAATAGGTATTATAAAGACAACTAAACATTTTCATTAACTATGTAAAAAAAGTTGGGCTGCTCATATTCTTCTCCGCCTGGGCTGAAGTATTCCCAGTCCACCCCTGTTTTAAATGTATTATTATCTATTTCTAATAAGTAATAACAATTCGAAGGTCCATGTCCCCAGCACCCCACCTCCAAATTTTGATTCAAAACCCATACCAATCGTTTGTACCTGTTTGTACCTCAAGTAAAATCGTTTGTACCTCAACGGTTTTCCAACTGTCACTACTTTGATTTTGGGAGTGCCGAGGAAACGCTGGCACCCCCACCATTGAATTTCGATTTTAAACCTATACCAATCGTTTGTACCTCGTTTGTACCTATTTGTACCTCGAGTAAAATCATTTGTACCTCAACGGTTTTCTAGTTATTCCAAGTTTTAAGGTGGGATTGCCGAGGAAACGCTGGCAATCCCACCTTTAAATTTCGAGTTTAAACACATACCAATCGTTTGTACCTGTTTGTACCTCAACGATTTTCCAGTTATTCCAAATTCCTTAGGTGGGGAGCTGAGGAAATGCTGGCACCCCACCTTTGAATTTCGAGTTTAAACACATACCAATCGTTTGTACCTCGGTCGTGCCTATTTGTACTTTCAGCAACATCGTTTGTACCTCAGTGCATTACAAATTATGCCAAATCTAGGTTAGGTTAGGTTACCTCAAGTAAAATCGTAATAATCGATTTTTTTGGTATGAAGGGTTGTTTTAAAACAGGTTTACAATACGACTGAAATGGAAAATAAAATTGTATTTCACCTTTATTGTGAATCAAGCCTTTTTTAAAACTTTTATATTTTAAATAGGTACCTAAATTTTTTTACAAAATTAATCATTTGTTTACTTAATTACACATATATAACTGTTGAAGTTGATTAGATAGCATTTACTTTTGCTATCTATATATATGTTTTACAAAATAATTCTTAACCAACATCATGAAATGTTTATTTTTGATATTACGTGTAATAAATTTATATTACATATTTTATTTTAATATGCTTTCTGAAGTTTCAATCGTTAGACGTAGTTGAAAAAATATATTATATAATGTTAACATACTTTACTTCAACGTTTCTATTTAACCCTTTCAGGACAGCACCTTAATAACGTTGAAAAAGTAACAATTTTTTTGCGAATTTCAAAATTTTTCCTATTTCTAAGATAGTATTTGAAAAAAAAAAAATATTTTTTTTTTTATCCTTCATCCTTATTTTATCCTGGGACTTAAAAGTCCCGTCAGTCATCTAGGTCATTTTTTTTTTACATACAAGCAATGTAAAAATAATTATAAAATTAAGGACTTTAAAAAAAAAATGTAAAAAAAAATGAAACAATTACAATTTTAAAAAAATGAGTACACAAATACAAAGGTAAGATATTTATTTAAATTTCATGATATTCATTAAAACAGTTTTTTTTCTCATTTATACACAGGCGTATGTTACAATGCATGCACTTTGAATATGGTCTAGACTCTATTTGTTTTGGGCTGCATACCTCACATCTTCTTCGTTCTTTTACAAAAGTTGGCCGGTGTATTCCTCTGTTACCAGTGCGCACATCTTGTGGTAATGAAAATTGATTTTTTCTCCTTTTAACATTTTTGTCAATTTGAGTTGATGGCCTTTTTTTTCCAAGCGTTTGTTTTGTAAGTAACCCTTGAACGATTGATCTTCGATATTCTAATACTGACATTTTCCCAAAAAGGGAACAGTATACTACGGATGAATTAACAAACATAATATCTAGCAGCCCGAAGAATAGTCTTTGCCACCATTTACGTGATTTTCGTTCTATATTGTATAGAGCACGTAACCTGTCTGCATGATCTACCCCACCCATATACTTATTGTAGTCTGATACTGAAGCTGGACATTTAACCGAAACTGATGAACCATCTTTATTTTTTCGATTTACATTAGTAATTTCTGACCCATGAAAGTTGGAAATAAAGTGAACAGCTTTATAAATTACACTCCATCTGGTAAATATTTAATATCCTAGTCTCCTCTACTCATTTTTTTGTCCAAAACCATTTGATTAGGCAATCCTTTCCTATTTGATCGTATAGTCCCACAACCAAGTGTTCTTTCAACATGTCGTTTTTGTAAAAGTTTGGGATAAGAAAAATAGTTATCAAAGTAGATTTCACGGTACTCATTCCACACAGATTTGGTTAGTTCTAGGACGACACGTTCACCAAGACCATAATTTTCAAATTCTGAGCTTACATTTTCTTCCTTGCCTTGATACACTTTCAATGCCAACATATATCCCTTCTGATCCGCCATACTCCAAATTTTGTACCCTCTTTTGATGGGTTTCATCGGGTTGTATTGTTTGATACTTGATCTGCCTTTGAATTTTATCATACTTTCATCGACACTTATTTCTCTTGTTCCAAAATAATTATTTTTAAATGAAACATTTAATTTGTCTATAATTGGTCTCAATTTAAATAACTTGTCCTTGTTATTAGGGGGCAATGATTTATTATCATTACAGTGAAAGTTAACAAGTATTTTTTCAAAAGTATTACGAGGCATAGCATTTTAAATTAACTTCACACCTAAATCGGGTGATGTGCTACAGTAGTCCTTATAAGATGGAACACTGTGATACCCCATAAAAAAGTTTATACCAATAAATACAAGCATGTCTTCTCTTTGAATTCTCAATGTTTTGTTATTTTGTGTTCCATACAAATTGGTTTGATAAACCAAGTCATCTAGTATAGATTCCATGAAGACTATGAATACATCTGTTGGTGTATTGCACATATCAAATCCAATGGCTCCTTCTGGTTTTAAATATTCAGGTCTTACAGTTTTCACACCAGTCTTTCGAGCCCAAACTTGGTCGTCATCTGAACACTCTGACTCATCTAAAAAATAAAAAATAAAATAAAATTACATTTGAAAAAAAACTAATATAGTTCCTTACCTAAATCATTTGATTTTTTTGATTTTTTAGTTTTACTCTTGGGATTTTTTGTTTTGTACTTATTTTTTACCTCATCAACAACAACAGCTTCATTATTCAACATATCATTTTCATTGACATTTATAGTTTCATCACCATCAACAGCATAAACAAATTCTAAAAAAATGTGAAATACATTTTTTTGTTTATTTGTATAATTTGTAATATTGTATGGAACCACTTCAGAAATAAACTCACCACAAATGTCTAAATCAATGTCAACAGTGTCTTGCACTTCATCAACATTATTATAAAAATCTAGTGGGTTTATTACATCATCATCCAGTGTTTCAAAATCATCGTCAAAATCTGAATTTATGTCCCCGTCATCTGGGATTTCATCTAAGAACCTCGAAATATCTTCTACATTTAACTTATGGTAACTCATTTTCTGCAAAAATAATTTGAAAGAAAAATAAATAATAATAAAATTATAATTTATAATAATTATTATTTATGCTAGGCCAAGCTTGTCATTTTAATGCCTAACGGGACTTCTAAGTCCCGATTAGTTTATAGCATTTAATAACAAACCTAACTATACTAGAGCATTTAATATTATAGAAAAAAGTAATATGGAGTATATTAATTACAAATAAAAAAAAATTGCATACTCACCTTAATTAAGAGGCCGTCCTAGTAAAAGTGAAACGAATGCAACGCTCAAGAGATGGCGTTGTATCGCCGCCGTCGCGGTAGGCCGTAACCACGCCCATCGTGTACGCGACGGGGCCCGCTTGTTGTAATCAGTGCTGCCAAGTCCGCCATTTAATGGCTAAAACTAGCATTTTTTAAGGAGCCACTAGTCACTGAAAATTACATCTAGCAGGTAGCCACAATTCTAGCAATATTTTTTAATTTCATATTAAATAACACATTTTCTAGCATTTTAATTAATTCCATCAGATACACTAGTATTTAGTAATAATCAGTAATCAGTAATCACTTATTATTAATTATTACTAAACGTCCTTGGACTGTGGAGTATTGAGATAGATAAGGATAACAATTAATAACAATATTATCTACAACCACACCAGCTGCACGAAATACGAATATCTTCTTATCTTAACCGTAGTCCGTAACCGGCTTGTTGATTGATTTCTGACTTCTTAATTGTCTTCAATAGTTCTATGCTCCCTATACAAACTACCTTTACAATACACATTTCAACATTTGTGAATTGTCAGATATAAATATAACATGAAATAGGAATATCCTAGAGCTTTATTCTATCTTCAACTTCTGCTAGTCAACCTTTTCGTCGCTCACGAGTCTCGTCTGTTTTTTTCTCCGTGTGTGACGATTTAAACTTATTTATAATGATTTATACATATAATTTATTTATTATGGGTAAACCGCAATATACTCAAAAATTCAGAAAAGATTGGTGGAATAATAATCAATTAAAAGATTGGCTTGTAGAAGTTGAAGACGATGAAACGAAGGCCAGGTGTAAGTATTGCAAGTGTGATATTATAGCAAAAAATTATGATCTTACAAAACATTTGACAACTAAGAAGCACAGAACAGCATCATCAGCCTTTTCAACTTCTAGGAATCTTTCTAAATTTATGAAACCTGAAAAATCTAATAAATCTAACTCTGCTGAAGGTAGTTTGAGCTTATTCATTGCTGCCCATACTTCAATTTTACCAGTAAATCATTTGGGGGAATTATGCAAAAATGTATTTCAGGGCTGTGATTCTGCCAATGAATTAAAACTACATCGATCCAAATGTACTAATATAATTGTAAATGTTTTGGCTCCACATTTTAATTATGATCTTTTAAATAGTATTGGCAGTGGGCACTACAGTATTCTTATTGATGAGTCTACAGATATAAGTGTTATTAAATTTTTGGGAATCACAATTTTATATTTTAGTAAAGAAACTGGTGAAGTAGTTTCTACTTATTTAGCATTAGTAGAAATCACTACATGTGATGCAGTGTCCATAACAAATGCAATATTAAATACATTGAAAATTAAAGGCTTGTCAATAAACAAACTAGTTGGAATAGGTACAGACAATGCCTCGGTGATGGTTGGTATCAATAACGGTGTACACCAAAAGCTTAAAGAACATAACCCCTCTTTAATATTGGTACCATGTGTGTATCATTCTTTACAATTGGCTGTGTCTGCAGCTGCTAATGTTGCATTACCAAGGCATATTGATTTTTTAGTCAAAGAAACATACAACTGGTTTGCTCATTCAACTTTAAGGCAAAATGAATATAAAACTTTATATAAGGCAATTAATGATGGACATAGTCCTTTGAAAATAATTCAGGCTTGTGGAACCAGGTGGCTATCAATTGAATCAGCTATAAATCGAATACTACAGCAATGGGTTGAACTAAAATTACTTTTTCAAATGGCACGAACTAAAGACAAATGTTACACAGCTGAAATACTTTATAATCTTCATAATGACCAACAAAATTTTGTTTATTTAACATTTTTAAGTCCAGTTTTATTTGATGTACAATCTGTTAACAAGGTATTTGAATCAAACACTGCTGATCCACTCAAATTATTATCAACTTTATCTAATTTAGTTCAATCGGTGTCTAAAAAAATAGTAAACCCATCTTTAAATTATAATCCAATTAAAACTAAATTTTCGGAACAATATTTACACCCTAAACCATATCTAGGATACAAATTTGAAAATGCTTTAAAAAATATTCCAAATTTTAAAGATGAAGATGAAAAAACACTTAGGCATAGGTGTATACATTTTACTATTGAACTTTTAAAACAACTGCAGCAGCGATTACCAAAAAATATAGAAATATTGGAAAACATTTCAATGTTTTCTGTTAATAATAGCTTAAAAACATTAAAAGACAATTTAATTCCTTTACTAGAACTTATGAACACGAAAGAAGATATAATTGACAAAATAAATAATCAATGGGTAAATATAACATCCATACAGTGGCTGGAAAAAATAACACACATACATTTTGGTACGAAGTATCACTGTATAAGGATGCTTCAGGTGATAATCCGTTTGCTGACCTGCGTTCGTTTGTTATTCAAATGCTGATACTTCCATGGTCCAATGCCGAAGTCGGAAGGCTCTTTATTCACATGAATATTATTAAAAGTAAGACGCGCAACAAAATGTCACCAAAAACGTTGGATTCAATTCTTACCATTAGATCGGGGTTAAGAAGAAAAAAAATGTTGTTCTGATTATATTATTCCTGATTCAATAATAAAAAAAATTGGTACATTATCAGCATATACATCAGCTGATATAGAATTGAACAACTCCAGTGAAAACGGAGAAGAAGAAATTGATGCAAATGATTTATTATTTAGTCAAGATGATTAAACATTTTTATTTTTATATATAAAATAATATTGACATTTTTTTTTGTACACTTATATTACTTATAAACATTATTGACATTTTTATTTTTTATTTAATAAACAATTTTTTTAGCCATTTCTAGCCGTTTTTTTTCATGTCTTTGGCCATTTTTTGCTAACAATTGTTGGCAACACTGGTTGTAATCGCGGGAGAGGTACATTATTATTTCACGGACGGTCGTACAGGACGTTTCGCGTCATTACAGACCGTTGCGTAAATTGTCGCCTATGAATTCTACATGGTGCGCTGCCTCCTAGCTCATAAGTCGCAAACCTACTTTTTAATTAAAGCTCCTGTTTGCATAAAAATATTAACCAATGAATTAAGCATAACAATTATTATATTCCATAACTCGATTTATATTTCTAACCCAATTATCTACTTTTTAAAATACAAGTAAAATAATAATTTCATTAGAATTAAATAGATTTTTTAGTAAAAGTGTAACGTATTTTACGTTGTAACTTATAAGTGACATGAAGCAATGTTTGTACGATAATTTAATCTACTAAATAAATATTAGCTACATTTTAAATAGTTTTGATTATATAGTTAATATTGATGTATTTTCTTATTTTAATTTTAAACATATAATACATTTAATATAAAGTTGATGTTGTCCATAATGTTTATTAAATAAATATAAATAAAATAATATATTAATTATATAATTGCAATTTGTAGTACCTATGTAAAAAAAGCAATCTGTATAAACTAAACATGTTCATTGATCATAATATCATATAATGTATATAAATTAAAATTAAATTATGTACAGACCACATTTGTTATATATAATAGTTAATTGAAACAAAACATTTAGATTAATGACAATTTATTATAATTGATATTTGATAACTTAAATTAATGGTATATGTAGCGTAGATAGTGTAACTGATGTATATTATATTCTAGTATATTACCTATGCTTTTATTTTATGAAATATCATAATATGTACATTATATTATCTATATGTAAAAAGGGCATAGTAAGTTATGCA